TTGTAAAATATTCAATACATAAAATAAGATTATTAATCGAGATATGACGAATAGTCAGATCGATCTCACATACAGAACTCGATATTACTCATTTCTCATAAGAAAAGGAACCCATATTTACTTAATGATGATATTGAGATGAAAAAAGGACATGTTTTTAGTTCCTCGACATGCACTGTACTCGATTGTCATGAGCGAAAAATGTAAAGAAATAATTCTCTATGTCTTCATTAACTTTCCTCCAGACTCTTGACGACGATGGAATTGAAATACAAAAAAATGTTTTGAACACCGTACATAGTAGCGATATAAAATAAAAACTCACAGTCAAACGGTTGTCATAGGCAATTCTTTTTCCTTTTCTGCTCGGCAGTCTGAGGCACTGTTAGTAATGCGTTGCCACTTTCTTTTTGCATTATTTTTTTCTTATTTCTTTCTGTCATTTATTTTATTAAGAAATCGTTATTTTCTCTAGTTTTTTTTTTCTCTCTTTACTTCGTTCTTCAACTCAGTTTTACATTGAATCTCACCGACAATCAGCCATTCATTTTCTACTTCTGTCTCATCTCTATTTCTCCTACACACGTCCATGTCGTCATATTCATAGAACAAACTACAAATAATTCAGTTTCTACGACAGACGATGTGTCAATGAAACATTCATATTCGAGTGTTCGCAACAACCGGTCATGCTATTTCTTCATTTCGTTTATCTCCTTGCTCTCACAACTACTCTTGTCCTCTCCATACTAGTCATAATTTTAGTTTGGTTATTTCACTTGGCTGGCATGAGCTATGGGTAAGAAGAAAAACAAGTTTTGTTTTCTTGTGATTATGTTCATGATTTTCCTCTTTCAACAATCGACTTAGACATATTTCCTGACAGTGTTATGTCAAAATAGGCATAACTGGATGTCAGACGTTCCCTACATAGATCAACTTTGTTAGATTTACCTCTCAATAACATATCGAGTCATTTTGTACTTTCCTTGACGTCTTCTGTTTATCTACTTCCATGAACAAATAAACTACAAACGGTCATACCGTCATTAATGAGAATTTGATACGCTTTTCAAAAGTGTGTGTAAACTTTTTTCGGGGAAAAGACGTAAATTGCAGTCATCGTCTAAGTGTACACCGATAGTGATGTTTACAATCTGAATTGAAAAAATTTTGTTTTGATGTTTTTTCAAGTCTATTCGAAATACGCAGATTAAAATGACAATATTTGGATAATCGATTAACATTCTTATTTTAGTTATTACAAATTTCATCGAAAAACATCGCCAATTAACGGCAAAGAATTACCGGGAATCTCAATTATTAAACCATTGACTTGTGTTGATGCCAATCTCTGCGAGAATTTAAAGACATTTTTCAATTTAAAATACCCTCGTGTATGTTAATCGATTGTCTTATGGAGAAAATCTTCATACGTTTTCTTTTAGTATGAAATTCTCTTTTGCGTTCAAGAGCACAATAGTGAATTAATCGATATCATTGAACGATTGCGTATACAGTATCCACATGTTGATTCACAATTGTTTGTTGGTATGTAGAACTAATCTATTCATGTTGCAGATAGTTTACGAAAAGATTGTCTATAGGAAATCCAATGGAAGAAAAAAATACTCATGAAAATCTCAAAGATGTCTCAATCAAAAGAAAAGGAAAACCTTGGTGGAAACGAATTTTGTCGTGTGGTATGTAGATGAATATCAGTATTGACGTGTATATCTGTTTTTTTTTATTCTTTAGGCTTGAAGAAGTTGGCACCGACTGAAGAGACAATCGGATTTGAAACAGATGAAATCAAAAATCCGAAAATCTTCAATATGCTGCCAGCCTATGATAAAGCCCAGTATCCATTGTTTTTAATATCAGATAGTGGCTTGCTGATGCATGAAGATGCTTTGTATGATATGGCTTCCTGTATGACTGATGATGTTGGTCTCGTTCATCAGATGCCATTCACATGTGACAGAAAAGGTTTTGCTGGATCAGTTGAAAAGGTATGTTTTAGATCAGTGTACTCTAGAGAAAAGATTGAGATTGATAGTTACATAATCATTAATCGAAAATTTGTTTTGTTATTTAGGTTTATTTTGGTACTCAACATGCTCGTATGTACATGACAATCAATTTGATTGGCATAAACTGTGTTACGGGAATGTCTTGCTTAATCCGTAAAGAGATCATTGATCGTGCCGGCGGTTTGAAAGCTTTTGGCAACTATATTGCCGAAGATTTTTATATCGCTGCTGAAGTGACGAAACAGCATTGGAAAATTTGTGTTGCCCCCACTCCTGCTCAACAAAATTCTGGTGATTATTCTATATCAATATGGCTCGATCGAATGATTCGTTGGTTTAAATTACGTATGCGTTTAAGTCCGTTAGCTTATATTGAACCTTTACAAGAATGTTTCACGTCTGCTGCTCTCGCCGGTGTTGTAACAGATTATTTATTTCAATGGAATGCTCTTGTTGTCGCTGCTTGTCATATTTTACTATGGTTTCTGTTTGATTATTTTATGCTTCGAATAACACAAGTAAGTTTTTTTTACCAACAAAAAAAGAACACTCCTGACAATCTGATGTTTTTCTTTTCTTTTCAGGGTGGTCCACTTCCTTTTTCGAAATTTGAATTTGCTATCGCATGGCTAGTAAGAGAACTTTCAGCCTACTACATCTATTTTAAAGCGTTTACTGGCTCATCAACAATACGCTGGCGTGGAAAAGAATATCATCTGGGATCTGGTACACGAGCCAACGAGGTTTACTCTCCATCTTCATCTCCTGTGCCTACAATTGTTATTGAAGCATCACCCACATCATCTCCATCGACGGGAACACATCTTTTACCTCCATCGCTTTAAATTTCAAAACCTGTCACATATCCTTGTTTCTCGTTTTGTTTTCCAATTACGTGCAGGTCACGTTGAGCTTGTCATGTGCTAGAGTCGATGATGGAGATATTTTTATTTTGTTATTTGCCGGAAATACTTCAATAGAAGAATTTATCACGCCAATTTGGCATTTATATTTTATTTCAATGTTTTTTTCTCTCTTGTTGTCTTTTATATGTTTGCTGATTATCGTAATATGAAGAAGAATGTACTATTTTTGAACAAATAAGAATCTTTATGAAAATGTGTGTGACTGAGGAGACTAACAGACAGAAAACGTGACAGTATTTAGTGCTTCCTAGTTAAAATGACTTAGCCTCGTCTGAAGAGGCCACTTATTAAAGTGTTACAGTATGAATAGCTTATGATTTTACTGCTAGCGAGAGCTAAATGTCACATGTCATAAGACTAAGTGTACTTGTTTTCAATCAATACAAATGATGTTCTATTAAAATATAAAACAAACAACAAGCGTACGAATGAGATAAAAAGAATAATAAATCTTGTGAGTAAGAGTTTGTATCGATTGAATAGATTCTTTTAGATCATCTCTAAACAAAAACAACGATGAAATGATCGTTCATTAAACATAATTACCATTCATTAGTTGTTTGTGATTCAACTTTCTCTTCATCATTCACAACATTTGTTGTTGGTGTATCATTGATTGGTTCTTCGACAATGTTTACTTCATATCCTTGTTCAGCTGCTGTTGGTAGAGTAGCAATACTCGTTTCTGGTGTAATTATTCCACGACGAATGCAAGCATCTCGAAGTTCTAAAACATCTTTGCTTGGTGTGTCCGATGGCCGACGTGAAATACCTTGACCATTGAGAGAATCATTGGATATGTAACAGCCATTAGCAGTAACTAGTCTTCTAATGTATGCTGATGATGATATAACTTCTCCATCTGTGCCTGTACATTTATCGATCATTTCATCGGTTGATTTCTTCTTTTTAATAAGCTCTTTTTTCTGGCTTTTCTTTTCTAATGTTCCTGTTTTACCATTTTGATGAGTATAAATGTCAAGAGTTTCTTTCTTGTGTCCATTAACTTTACTCACGGTTGTTCCTGCTGTTGAAGATGATGATTTTGATTTACCTAAGATAGCACCCATGATTTATATAACTTAATAGGAAATAATGTACTAAGACAGAAGTGATAGTCAACAACGATTGTATGTGAAAAATGAAACAAGTTTGTCCGGGAATAGAGAGCCGTAAAGCGAGCGAAGATGGAGATAACAATGGAATGTCTATGTGCGTGTGGAAGAAACCAAGAAAGAAAGAGGGGGAAAACAAATTTCGATACTATTTCTAATGCTGAATCAATGTGAGTTATCGTGCTGATTGCATTTAGCAACGTGAAAGTATGAAATATTTTCATTTCTGTTTGAATGTACTGCTAGATTTGCAATATGTACTGTCATCATAAATTTTCATCAGTTGATCTCTATCATTTCAAATAAAAAATACTCATCAGTGATGACACTTTCATTTGTCATCATGTAGACATGTAGTATGACTCTTGTTAGTAGAACAAATCCTTGCTTTCACAAGCAAGCAGAGAGTAGATGGATCTCAGTTCATAGCTGCGTGATTTTCACTTCGTCTCGTTTGTTTAATTTCATGATTCCATTGATGTATTCATGGTATTCGGTATCGGCATTCTCTCTCTCTCCCTTAGTCCATGGCAACGAAGTCACACTAATGAAAAATCCCGACCGCTTCGAACCTCTGCATCACTCGTAGGAATGATGCTTATCTTCATTAGCATTCTTCTCTGTATAGTCTCACACATACAAGACAAAGCACTTCAATGGTAAAGACTCTATCACTCGTGTTGTTTTTATTCTTGGATATTTTGTAAAAAGTTACATGCTAATTTATTTACTGCTCGCTACTTGGCGAATATCTATCGAAGCTAAAGTGCGAATATTACAGAAAAAGAAGTTCAAGAACGGATTGTGATAGATGTAATATTCGCTATAACATGATAAATTGTACGCCTCTGAACACATGATTCAAGTGGAATTTATTGTTGATATCTTGTTTAGAAAGCTAACATTGACGAAAAGAGTTTTTCCTTTCAAGTGACAATTAGATGTCGAGTTAGATACCAGATAAAGACTGGCTGACTGAAAGTGACTAGCAGGAGTAAATAAACACGACGTCGATTTCGATTTACGTTGTATGCTTGAGAACCACTCGTGTCAGGTAAGATTTGCAATCTTAGACAGTTGATCTAAAGTAAAATCTTAGTAGTAAAAGATCAATGAGTACAAATGAAGGTAACTTACAAGGAAAAATGATATTGAGATACTGATATAGAGTAGTGAACAATAATATGCAAGAAATGACTGTGTGATCAAATAAGAAGACAGCACGACGATCATTCCAACATATTTATAACCACAATATGCAATTAAATCGAGTAGACCGAGTTTAGAATGAATATTACAAATGTAAAATATCAAAGAAAGAAGACCTATCTCAATCATGTTCCATATAAGAACAGAGGATGCGTGTGTACCTAGTTGTTCAGGTGTAAATCTTTGAATAATTCAAACAGTTGTGAATTTTGGTAGTAAGAGAGAAACAGCTTACTTTTTTTGTGTCCCAAGAACAACACTGGCAATGAGCACGTAAGTCATAGCACTCATTACTAAACAAATCAATTCATCTTATTCAATCAAGTAGTGTGCAGTTGACGATATCCTACATGGAATGTAATAGTCAGGTGCATTTGCATCAACTCGCGGTGGAACTGGCTCATCAGCACTATAATCCAATGACCATTTCTATATGACAAAATGTTTCAAATGAGCAAGACTTTGTTGAAAGATTTTACCCTTGATCGAAATGGGAAGAGAATGAGAATGAGTTTTTTTCGAACATATGCTTGATCAACGGCAAAGTAATATCTTATAGATGACACCGATTTCTTCATCTAAATTCATACCTCTAATAATTAGAAGAAGCTCTTTCCTCTGTTGACAAACTTCATCTGGCAGGGCACTAAAAGCTTTCCCAGTAATATCTTTCATGCCGTCTTCAACAGCTTTCATTCCGACACGAAGAAATGGATTAGTTGTCAAACGTTCCATTTCGAGTGCTGGCTCGTTGGGTTGACCATAGAATGCTGTCTGGGGTGTAAAAAATGCGTTCTGCGAAGAGTTGGGACGCGCTAGATGAAAACAGAGCAGATTTTAATATTATTTCACAGAAGGGAATCGTAGAAACCATTCGATTCGGCCGGTCGTTCTTGATCGGAATGATGATTTGATCTATGCATTATTAGTTCACTAAAAGCTGTGAATACAAGATAAGCACATTTTATATTTATTATAATATATGATGAAATGACGTGTCTCTAGTGATGAATCAGCACAAATCTCATAAAGGTATATGTTTCTCTTTTCACAAGCGGTCAGTGACATCTGCGATTTGAAAAAATTCTACAACTAACCTGTAAAGCAGATATACTTCTCAGCTGAGAGGAAAGTTTCGTCCTGGGTACAATAAGGTTGAGTATACATACATTATCATCAAGTCAATTAGGACAAGGAGTCGTAATCTATGCAAGACTAGACATTCTGATAAGGAAATAATTGCATCGATAAATAAATAATTAGCCAAATTTTTCCTTGTGCATATTTCAGTAATTTCTTCATTGAGATGAAAAAATTGCCCATTATTTTATTTCGTTGTGATTCAACGATAGTCAAGTGAAAGTGAAAGAGAAGAAAAACAAAGATTTCTATACAGATATAAGAGAGAAACAAAAAAAAAAGAGAGAGAGAAAAGAAAAATAATAATATTATTATTACAATGATATTCATATCCATATTATTAACCGTTAGTTATTTTCAATGATCTAAAAGCACTTAACCATTGTTGTTTATCATAGATATCGCGTGCTTGCAATAACATCGAATTATTTCGATTATTGTTATTGTCTGATGAGAAAACAGATGAACAACGAAATACATTACGAGCTAAACATAATAAAATGACATTTTCTTGTTATACACTTTCAAAATCTTCTACCTGATTTCGATCCAGCTAACGTTCTGGAAAAACTCCCCGATGATAATTCGGGAATCTTCACTCCATCTTCAATATCTTCAATACGTAAGAATTCGACTGAGATTGGATAGTTTGTTAATTGGTAAGATTTGACACCATTACGTGTAGCAATGCGAGTAAACAAAATGATTTCATCAAATAAAAAGACATGTAATTTCTAAAAGATTCCAATAAATTTTCTCTTCCGAGGCAAAATTTAGTTTCGCATACTTGACCACGATTATTCTTCAATTCGCCTTGACAGATCAAACGTGTTTGGGTTTCGATTAACGAATGTTTCTGTCGATACAAAACTGAATGTTAAAAAAAAACTCCTCCGACCAAAAGTTCGTACCTGTTCGTCATTTGTATAAACAAGTTTAGCGATTATATTCGAACAAATCTGTGCTGATGTTGCTTGACTAACATCATTGATCAATTCTTCCACAATATTGATCTACAATCAGATACTCATCGTAATCCTCCGATGGTACATTTTACTTACCGTTTCCAGCAGTATTCGTTTATCTTCATGACTGTCTTTCGTCTAAAATGAACAAAATTTGTTACTGTATGTCTGAGAGTATAGATTATTTATGAAGGAAAAAAAATACCCAATTTAAATACAGTTCTAGTTTAGCTTTTTCACATTTTGTGTGCGATGAAACTATTCCGAATGAAATTTTCATCGCTTCATATCAAAATGTGAATTGAAGATTCTCATTCTACGTCAGACATCTTACTCGTTTATGTATACGTTTGAACAGGATTGGATATTTCATCAATCGGCTTCGTGGTTGATCTAAAAGACACGAATGAATTTACAACGAGGAAAAGAAACACCGATGAATGCGAACCAAGAAAATCCCATAGATCAAGTTTACGACTAAATCCTGAGTCAGTGCATCGCTTGAGATAATCATCAACACGACCATTCTCTTCACATCGTTTTGCATCCAGTAATTCTTTTGCATTGATTAAATTCGAACAGTATGACACGTAAGATGAACGAATTCGTTGAAACTAAGTATTGATATATAATGAATCATTCGTCCTTTTCCAAGATTCTTACCCATTCTAAATAGATCTGACCTACAGCATCAATCGAAGAATTACCCTTGGGTTTCAACCGAAAGAGAAGATCTAAACAAACAGTAGTGGTTATTTTTCATTGGTAATCGTAATCGAATTTAAACCTCCGACAAGAAGAACAGAGTCTATCGTCCATGTTTTCACCACGACATAGAACTGATAACATATTCTATTCTCTTTCTCTCTCCTATCAGATCTCTTACCTTCATGTAATGGCAGAATATCTTCTAACGGACCAAAGATTTGTTTTAATTCGAAATCATTGAGGATATTCAATGTTTTCATGCCGTTTCGATAGACCTACGAAAGACAATTGTCGATTTTGATTGTATATGTGCTGATGAAAGAGTTACTCGTTGTGCTAAACCAAGATTTTCAATCATTTGTTGTTCTTCTGAGAATAACTCATAGAGAACATTTTGTCGTTCGATTTCTGTTGCTGTCATTGTTTGTTTCAATTTTTCTCCATCGCAAGTTTCTGACCAAGCAGCACGAAACTTTTTGATCGTATTCGGTGATGAAATACCATTGGTCGCTTGTTGTGATGTGGAACCTTTTCGTCTAATGTTGTAATTATGAGTTGAATTGGTGTTGTTATTCAAGAGATTATGTAGATTTGCTGATGACGACTGTTTGGTTGTTTGTAACATGTTAATAACTCGATCACACATGGGACTTAAAAGTTCAGATACTGATGATAAACGTGGAAGAGAGAGACGCTTTTTACGTTGGAAATGATCACCAACGAGTTCTTCGAGTGAACGAAGCGAAACCGTATCGGGTTCAAGTTTACGTTTACGTTTTTTCTTGAAACGAAGTGACACGGAGTTTTGTAATGCCGTTATATTCAATCGATTGGAAATTGTTAAGTCGTCATTCATTGACAGTTGAGATGAGACCGATGGTGGGGGCATATCATCGATGGATTCCATGTCGCATGAAGATAGGGCAGGCGAAGGTGGTTGATGTTCATAGGAACCGAACATTTTCATAGATAAAATAGAAATCTACAAATGAAAAAAGACCTATCGGATGCAGATAAAGAACGAGAAAAGGAAGAACAAGAAGAAAAGAAAGGAAAGGAAATGTCTCAGGGTCAGTAGAGAGTAACAGCTGTCACTTTCTGTTCATCCAATAATCATTAGTTCGACGTCTATCTGTGAGCTGACCTCTTGTGATAAGATGATGTAACCGAACTGTACAACATGTTCTTTAATGATGATCAATCAACGGATATACAAATGTCTTTTGTAGACATTGAATGACTACAGAATGACGATCATCTTCATTCAGCGCTCAGTTCAGTCTCGTTGTCTGTACCGAACAGAAGTAATCAGTGTAATTAGATTAGAGTCGATCAAAACGATGGCGAGAAAAGGCAATCTTCAATTAGACACGAACTAAAATATATTCTCATTTTCTTTTTCTAACGAATGAAAACATGTCAGAAACGTTTTGTTGATACGATAAACAAATCCACATATCGTCTTCTGATGACATGTTAAAAGCGTCAGTCGACTATCTTACATTGTCGTCTACAATTTACTAGATAACTTTGCCCAATGCAATCCACCTCTGCATGTCAACAGTCTTATTTGTCATCTCTATTACGCGGAAAGATATCAACTCTTTCTAGTACAAATCGATCGTTTAGTCTTTTCTTTGTGAGATAAAAAAAGAAGAAAAATTGAATTTATTGGTCGACTGTGACTACCATTTGAATCATATAGGAAACAAAAAAGGAATATCTAATAGATTTCTCTGATAGAGGTCTATTACCGAGACATCAAACAATTTAGATGGTTTGAAAATTCTATCAGAAATCTGATACTACTTTCGTTCTCCTTCAAGGCATACATTTCCTATATTTTTAAGTGCAAAGATCTCGTTTGCTTGACCTCGTGTAACGAAGCGAGTATCATGTTATCATTCCACACGAACAATAGCGATATGTGTGTAAGTCATGATCGTTCGAAGGAGTATTGGAAAGAATTTTCAGTGCGAACATTTCGTAGATCGATAGACAAGTATGTGTAACTTGATGATGGATACGATGAAAACTGACGAAAATGATTTGACACGTTCTTCCCATTATTATTACAGCTGTATCAATGAAATATTCCTGGAAACGCCTTTTTTTGGAAAAGACAAAAATCAACCAATAGATTGTCTGTCGACTATAAAGTTTTGAATTAAAGTGTGTTTGACATGGAAACATTCTGGCATGAAGCCAACAATAAAATAAATAGAAATAAAGAACATGCGTGATCAATTTTTTTGTTCTTTTTCTTTTCTCAATGAAAAATCTTTCAGACATGCAACTGTTTCTTCTACACTTTGAATTACTCGTAAAGGCAACAGACAGATCGTTATGTAATTGTTCAACACTTTTTTTCTTCTAGAATTCTCTATCTTTGACATAAAGATGATGGCCCTTGTGCCATCAAATAATGGCGAGAGCGACAATCGGACTGCACATAATGAAAAGGTTATTGATCATATTTAGCGATGAAAATTATTTCGTAATGGTTTGTCTCTGTGTTTGTAGAATAGAAACGATGGTATCAATAGAAACAGCATTTCATCATTATCAGTTAATCAATTCAATGCAAGACCTTCGCAAGATAGAACTACATATGAGCAGGTTTATCAAATTCAGCAATCACGTAATCGAACATCAAGCGATTCAAAGTGATGTTCGATTTGTAGTTCTATTTCGTGTATTGATAATCATATTTGTGTGAATAGTCGACAGCGACGTGCAGATGGAAAGACTTTTGTAGTTATCGATACTTCATACGACAATCATCCACCTGAAAACTCTGCTATTCAATTACCATTGATTGAAACTCATCATTCACGAGTAATTTGTTAGATGTTTTCTTTTCATTGACTCGAAGATTATTTATTTGTACTAGCCCGTATCGAGAAATTCGATATCGAGAAAACGATCGGAACCATTAGGTGTTCTGCCACTTAAACATCGACACAACCTTCGCGTAAATATATATATATCAATGTAGATGATTAAAACTATTCGTTCATTCGGTTCTCTCATAGAATCATAGAATTCCAACATCATCAGAAGATGCGAAACAAGAACTACTCAGGCTGGCGGTATGTGATCCCACAGCATCAAATGTTCATTCGACATTATCACGAACATATGATTCAATGCAACGCATCAGAACATATAACAGAGGTAGATTTATACCTCTTAATTTCATTTTAACATTACAGTTTTAGATGACTATGATGAAGACGCTCATCGATACGAATCAAAAACAAATATGGATATGAAAAAAAGCAATTATGGAAGTAAAAAATGTACTCCAGAGCGTCTAAATTCGGTCAGTAATCAAGGAAATTGATTGACAACAGATTGGTAAGAAATGTCATGTTTTTTCAATTACAGGCGTACCGTTTTCTTGGATACAATGGTAAAGAACGTGCTGCTATTGTTATTCAATCCTATTGGCGTGGTTTCTGCATTCGACGTGTGTATAAAAAGTTTAAGAAACGTAAATGGGCAGTTCGGGTGATTACTTCTGCTTGGCTAACGTATTCGAGACGATCTCAGATTCGACATCGATTGAAACAAACCTGTCAACGTCAATTAGAATTCTTTCATAGAAAACAAAATGAATTGTACGAAAATTGGCCATCGATGGTATCGAATCGCCGGACGATCGTCCATTTACCATCGTTAGGGTTAACACAATCCACGCGAAGAAGCTTAACGGATTTATCTTTAAGAGAAAGTTATCAAATTGGACGTCTTTGTGAACTCGAAGATCCAAATGTTGATGTGATCTACGTTTCACCAGTCGATGTAACTAAGGAAATTTTACAATACTATGATAAATTAGTAAGCAAATGAATCGTCTGTTGTCAATTTCGACTAAATGATGAGATCTAGATAAACTTACGAGCAATGGTTGAACAAGGAAGTGAACAACCGATATTCTCAACTTCCAACAATGTAAATGAGCGTTTCAAGATCATTGTACCTGAAGCATTGCATAGTTTTCCAGTAAGTTGTTTTTTGTATAATCAATACATGTCTATGCTGGTTGATGTTTGTATAGAAACATAATATGTGTTTAGCTACACTGTTGAAATACAGTCCTAAAGCTTTGAAACAGTAAATAGAACAAGCGAATTTGTCAATAGGGGATTTTCGATTGCTTTAGAATTAAAAATTTGATTAAAGATCGGCCATGTTATCTAGTATCAGGTGTATCACATATTGATGATTTGTATATTGCCGAATATCTTGATATCCCTATCTATGGTGAGTTACTCTATCGACTTGATTGATATATGAATGCTGTATAGGTTGTGAACCCGAAGCATCTTATTTATATTCAACAAAATCCGGTTCCAAGCGAATCTTTAAATCCAGTAATGTTCCTCTACCGTTCAGTGAATATGATATTTATGATGAAAAGCATCTGCTCAATGGATTAGCTCAATTAATTCTCGATCATTTGGATATTCAACGGTGGTTATTTAAAGTCGATGATCACTTTGATGGATTAGGTGTCGCATATTGTGATATTGCCACGCACCTTCCGTGTTATCAAAATGTCGTGAAAGAAGCAGAAAAATTGCGTGAAAATTGGTCAATTAAATCCGTGCAAGTAAGAAAAATTTTCCAGGCGAACCAATTTCGAAACTATTCATTACATTCTTCTGCGCTTTCAGAAAGATTACTATAGAAGAATCCTATCGGAATTACCTGATGTTCTTCATAAACATACGGTGTACATAAATAAAGCTCAGTTCAATTCTTGGAAGAGTTATTTGTCAGTCTTCTTGACTCAAGGAGGCATCATCGAAGCCTATCCACCATCTGATTCGATCACATCTTTGACAATATCTCTTGCTATTGAATTCAACGGGCAATACTCACTCATCTGCGCTGGCGATCAGCTTCATGCTGAATCACAATTTTCTTGTTGGGGTTTAGTATTTCCTCAGACAAGTGTCGATCCGAAAGAGCTAAATGGTTACTGTGCACTTATTGCTGAACAATGTAAACAAAGACACATCTATGGTTATGTTGACATTGATTTAGTGACATTTATCGATGCCGAAACGGACAAACAGCATCTTTGGGTTACAGATTTGTCCATTGGATATTCCGAGCATGTTTCTCTTTTTCGTGTTATGAAATATATCACGACGGGACAATTCAATTCTCAATCACATTCATTTACGGTTCAAATGAAACAACCGAAACAACGATTGAGAAATTGGCAAAATGGTGCACCGGAGTATCTTGTAAGAAAACACTCGTTCTTTCCATACTATTTCGATCATTCATGATCATTTTAGATTTCCGAAAGAAATCGTTTCGCAATTTGGAGTTCTCGGCTTTATCACACCAGTCTATCCACTGTTCATTACAGTGTCTTTTTTCAAATCTGTCGAGCACACAGTGTGGGTTTTGATGTTCGAGAAAAGCAAGGAAGCATTTTTACGTTACTCCAAGGAAACCATCATGATCATATCGGAATGGTTACTATTAGTGAAACATTGCAACAGACTTTATCGACCTTTATTAGCAATCTAAATGCCATAGAGCGAGAGCTAATAAAAACAACAGAGACACAAGGTCAACACAATTTTAAGGTATGTTCGGTTATTTTGTTGATCAAAAGACTATGTTCACGTTCGCCTCTATTTTTAGTTAGCAATGAATGATATCAATAATATCTTAGATGCTACGCAAGATAATGTTTCAAATGTGTCACTGAATACTACTACATCTTAATAAAACTGCGTTTGTTTGTCGTTTTCGGTTACATATACACGCTGTCCACATATAACGAGTATCACTTTCACATTTTTTTCAATATCACTTGTAATTACATAAACTACATGAAGTTTTGACAGTTTTCGATCGTTGTTAAGAAGCAAAACGAAATGGAGGAGTGTGCACGAGATGAAAAGAACGTTAGTATTAAATGATAATATCACATTTATGGCATGGTTGTTATTCAGAACTTTAGTGACGTCGTCGACTGTTTTATTACCGGACTATGATTCAGTGACGAAATCGGTAAACTTTCAGTTGAATATACTATGTTCTTCCCTGGATTAGTCTGACAACGAAATGCCAATATCGTATTTTCTTTACACTTCGTCATAGGTCAATAAAAAGTAATTGTGAAACACGCCTCCTCCGTGTACATGAGTAACTCTTTGTACATATTTATATGGTAAATTATTTTAACATTACCTTACATACATAAAATAAATTCAAAGCGTATAAAATGAATCTCCTATTCTACCTACTCTTGTTACTCATCCCATGTTCTATCTCGTACCCACGCCGAGCACCCTATAATCTGAATAATCTTCTTCAAAGATACATCCGACAACATGATGCCGGTTTAGACGAATTTCACAGCAAATTTGGGTCTCCAAGACAGCAATTATATCGAATAATGCCATTACATTATCAACAACAACAACAACAACAACAACAACTACAACAGCAAAATCCAATATGTCTACCACAAGTATGGACATGTGGACTAGGTCTCCCGCCGTGTTGTGCAGGTCTAATGTGTTATGATGGAAATGCTAAACGTGGTCGGTACTGCGTGGCCAAGGGATAATCGTCAAGATGTTTTTCTTGTTACATTCCCATCTGTTGTTCAGAACGTGACATTACAAACTGTACCTTTAAGTTTATACTTATGATAATAAAACTCTTTATTATTGCGCTGTTTATATCGTTTAATTATATCGATGCGTTTAAGGGTCTTTACGTGAGGCATGCTTGATTACATGACTTTATTCATAAAAATAGAAGTTTTTATAAGTAGAACAAGACAAGGTTCATCGTTTATGCAATGATTGGTGTTCTACTGACAATTCCATTATCATCAACAGGAATACGTACACGATCTTGACGATAATCCATTGTCATTGCTGAGTTTTGTCCAATTGTAAAAACATTCGTTAGACCTAACAGAAAAGATTCATGTATTGCTAATGATTATTAAATAAACAAACCAGTTTTTTCTTTTATATATTGGACAGCATATGAACCTTCTTTGCCGACCATTTCTGGCCAAGATGTCTGTTTTGCATCGTCATTGGATGTTACTTTCTTAGCAGTATCGATTTCATCTAAATATCATTTTATTTCTTTCAATATTTTCTGTATAAAACATCTTCGAACCTTGACTAACACGAACAACAGGGATGTCTTGTGTGATTGGATTTTTACTACTGACGTCTACTCGGATCTGCTGATCATTAATATACAAAAGATTGACGCCTTTGGTAATTCGAACGGACAGTGTATACGTATTATGTGACGAGAGATCGTCGGGTATTTCCATTTCAAATGTAAACGGAAGTGCAAATAAATTCTCTACTTGCATCTGTTTGACCATCACTGCTGCTGCATCAGCCAGTGACGTATCTTGAAGAGAAATGGTCGTTGTTGAACCTGATGCAACACGCACCGATTTATTTGCATCGCCATCCAAAAGAATTTGACCATGAATACTATTACCAACTAAAACATGAATACAAACTAAAATTTGATCGTTGCAGCAACACAATCACTTACTACACAATGGAAATAAACATGTTAAAAATATTAATCGAAACATTCTTCTTCCCCAATTGTCAAATGGCTGCTATTGACAAAAAAAAATAATCGAGAATGATATTTATTTCGAAAAATGTATAATCAATCGACAGTGTTTTTCAGTTTAAATGAAAGAAAAAAAACAACACGTGTAGGGAGCAAAATAGAGGAAAAACGACATCGGTCGTTTCTGATGTCGTCATCACTAAATAATTTGTGTGTATACCATTGAAAGAATATGTGATTGCCGGAACCATAAGAAACTGAATATTATTTTTCATTCAATAACAATTATTCAGTTTGAAAATATAACAATTCATAATTAATTCATTAATTTTATGTCAAAATAAGAATATACAAATTATATATCAACAATTCAGACGATCTACGAAAAATTACACTAGCATAGTTCATACAAGTCAGGAAAAATGGCTCGATTTCAGAATACTATTAGCGCCTTTGGTATGTAAACTTAATAATTAAAAAAGACATTTTCTAAGATTCATATTACGAAAGCACTGATGCAGTAAATCAAACAATAAATATCATTCTTGACACAACAATCACGCAAGAATTCTTATCCTGTGGCACATTTTGTGAATAATGTACCCAAGCTTGGGCGTATTGTCACCTGCGCTGAACTTCGATAAATCAAAGTAGGGTTTTTTCTTTTTATTTACACCGACACAAGATAACCGGTAGCTGGAAAAAAACGACTGTTCCCTAGTGAAACAAAAGAGAAAGAAAGGAATATAAGTATACATACACAAACAACGATAACGATAGTATGTGTCGGTCAATGGGGCAAAAATAGGAGTGAAAGTGTGATACGAACAACGGTGACAAAATACATATAAAAAACAAAAAGAAGAGAAGAGAAAATAAATAAAGACATCCATATTAATCAGGCTCGACGACAAAACAACACGAACGACAACAACAATAAGTTTAGTATTGCACAGCAAGTAAAAGAAGAAAAAAAAAAACTTCAAGTGTAGGACAATAAAAAATAGGAATGATCATTTATGATGGTTTGCCGTCTTCCGGATCTTTCAATGAATGCCATTGGGCGATCGGTCGTCGTGGTGATGCGAGCATATCAGACCAATGCCGTAATTCGGTACCGGTCGCATTACAACCCAAAACAACTTTACCAATCGGCTCAGAAGTACCGATACGATCATAATCGACAACAGTAACGACTAATTGTACTTTCTAAACGAAAAGTCATTTGTTTCTCTCAAGATCAACATGTTTGCTAACAAGATTAGGTGACGTACTTGAATTTGTTCAAAGGGTACTTCGAATGTAAATGATTCGTTATAATATGGATTTAATGTACATTTTTTAATCGATGTTTTCTTCTTTTTCAACCGTTTACCATTCATCATTAACGATAGTTTAACATATGGATCTAAATGGTAATTGAAAATATACAATTTATACAAGAGTCGAATGAATTAGAATACTGTCACTTACCAGAAAGGCCACCAACATCCATCTTTTTCAAGTTCTTTGCTTCGAGTATAGTAATGGTTAATTTACCTGCTGTTGGTACATATCGAAGTGAAAAGCAAATGTCACCTAATTTATTTTCCTGAAAAGAATGATACAGTAAATAAATAGGCGAATCCTAATGGTCAGCTTACTGCTTCTTTGTCTCCTGGTGGCGGTGATAAATCCTTTATCTCGCGTATAACTTTGCCTAAATCGACTGTATTCAACGCAATTTGTACTTCACCAATTTGATCATGCCTTGAAAATCGATCGAAGTCGTACACGGCAAAGACCAATGTTTTTCCGCCAATTTCCCCATAAGCCAAATTCTATTCATAATTAAAACATGGTGGATTGCTTTCTTTCCCAACCAATGTCTCTTACCTTAAATATGAAGGTCTCATTGAAAACAGGATTTAGTGTTTTGCGGTAAACTTTCGTTTCGAATTTTTTCTTCTTATCGGGTAAAACATAAACTTTCACATACGGATCTGAGGTACCACTCATATCCATTGCCGGTAATTCTTGAGCTTGGATGACTTCAACTTTAAGCTAAATGATACACCAAGACGAATTCTCTTTTCGAACAATTTAGTCTGTTATTCTTTTACTTCTTGTTTTTGAAAGTCGTAGTCAAGTGAATATTCTAATTTACCTAAATTAGGTGCTTCACTTTTCTTCGAATCGGCATCTTCATTATCTTCCATATTCGGTGTTAGCTCTTCAATGTCAGGTTGGACCTGAGAGATTGGCAAACGTGTGAACCAAAGAGACTTCTCTTCTGTTATAATATTTACCTTTTCTTTGTGTAAACCGAAAGTTTTGACAGCTTGCAAATCAATACCTTTGCCTCCTTTGACTCCTTTCTTCTTCCATAACTTTCGACACGTTCGACGTATACAACATGCGATACACGCACATAATGCAAGAAGAACAATAATAACGAGGATAATTGTAGCCCAAGGTGGCACTGAAAAGTGAAATTCAAAGAAAAGTTATTCGCTATTTTTAGACACCGTCTCGAACAGTGGACCTTCTCTTAGCGAGAGGGACGCTCTATCGGCTAAGCTACTATGGTAAGAAATGTAAAAAGTAATTGAATAAACAAAATTTCATTATCAATTACTCGTGGTCTCACGAGAGTTCTCCGTTCTACAGACATCTATCGTATATTGAACAACAAACGTTTAGTTGCGTGTGTACGTGATCATTTACCTGGTATTACATTGAAAACTGATCTTTTTTTTGTGTGGATGGTATAGTTCGATTTTGTCATAGTACTCGTCATTATCTAAGCCTTTACGGTAAAGGCATATATGTGTCAACGCTTGTAAGTATCCTTTCACGCCAACATATTTTTGAATATATGCGACATGCACTATTTTACTGATCGAATAACATACGAAAAAAAAGCGAATAGAAGGAATGAAAAAATCTTTTTTCTCTTGTTGTAATGTTTTTTATGTATATCATCGATTGCCATAGTTAAAGAGTGACATGGTAAAGAATCGCCTACGCACCTATTTTTGGTCTGCTTTGTACAGTTAACAGTTTATAAGAAACGTGAGGATTTTGATTCGTTCGTTTCATTCGCGCAAAGGGAAGAATCGACGGAGAAAACGTTTCAGTCTGCACACGTTACATCATATGAATCGATTTTCGGTATGCTAGTGTTGCCAATTACTCCTACTCATACATATAAACATATTTACGAAGAATACAATCACACTTTTCGTTTTTGATTTATCGTGATAGGTGAAAAAAGAAAGAATGTCGGATAACGAAGGTTGCACCGGATAGCAAAAGGTATATATATAGAGATATATACTCACTCGGTACTTTTTCGATGACATCTTTTCCAATTGCTTTGGCCTTTTCAAATTGATTTTCAGTAGTTTTCGGTGGAAGACCTGCGCCGGCTGGAGTAGTCGCTGAATCGTCGTCGTCGTCGCCTTCATCACCATCTTCGTCATATTCATCTTCTCCATCGTCATTAGCTGGTGGCAATTCTTGACGACGAAAACGACGATGTCGTAAAATACCCATCTGATTTATTTGATAAGACTAATCAAAACTACTGATGTCTAGAAGAAGAAGAAGAGAAATCGAAAAGAAACCGTTGATGAACTTTTTTATTATTATTTATTTTCATAAACGGTATATGATGTGTTTTTGTCAATAGCTAGTTAGATATAGATATATATGATGCGATGAAATGTGGAAAAACAGCGATGGAAATGTCGAGAGAAAAGGAGAAAAAAAATCACAGGAAGATTAATGCGAGATTTTACATTCTTTGTACTGTTTTTTATCATTAAATGATCAACATGATGAGAAAAATCATCATTTATCTGCTAAGGTATGCACTATCATCGACTCGCCTACAAAGTGTGTTTAAACATGTTTCGAGAGCGATCTGACGTTTTGCTTACTTTTTTTTTTCACTGTGCGATGCTCACAAAACACGAAGGATAAAGATGATAGTAGTTCTGACGAGCAGTTCACAATAACGACAACAACAACAAGCAAGTTTTTCTCATTTTTCTTCTTCTGTTTCTCTCTCTCTCTCTTCGCTCTTTTTCTATACTAATAGTAGTAGCCGATAAAAGAGGAAAAAAATGAATGAACCTCTTTTTTCTTCGTTTCTCGTTCGTTCCAAACATGGAAGTAAAACGACGACGACGATGCCGCTCATCGCCGAAGCGAATGTTTGTTCTTAGTATTGACGTTTTCTTTGCCAGTCTCTCTGCTCGTCATAGCACGCATCCACAATTACTTGAAGGCGGAAGAAGAAATGGAGAAAGTCGTCATCAGAGTTTTTTTCCTCTCCCCCTGTTTTCTTGTCGTAGCAGTAATTTGGAGCAAGAATTGAACGTTCTATAGTCGACAACGTCGTCTCTTGCCGATAGTCTAATGTTCAACCAGCATGACTGATTTTTTTCTCGCATTTCCATACGAATGGAAGGAGGAGAATAAGACCGCGAGAGCTAAAATACTTGCAGAAACGAGAAAAACGAGCCTTTTTCTTTCCAAATATTCAATGTAAAGAAGGTTTTCTACGTCACAAGGAAAAAAACTCGGCTACTGTCTTTCACTAATCAATCAACGAGTAGAATAACAAGAGAAACTACACGAAGAAGACGACGAAGACAGAAAGAAAGAAAAAACTGAAACGACTAGTCAAGTAATGAACACTTAAGGGTTTGAGATACAAAAGAGAAAAAACGAAATTATATATCACTTAAACATGCCATTCTGACCTAAGAGGAAGAAATATTTAATTATATTGTCTGAGATAAAAAGAAGGAAAAGTAACAACCATTTCAAGCTTTTCGGTTTGATCTCAGAGCAAATATGTTTGTGTCATGGCTTCGATGGAGAAAACGAAAAATGATGATAATATATTTTTCTCCCTCTTGTTTCGAATCAAAATCTCTTTGCAATTCAATGACTCATTACTTATTGACAACACTCGTCATTCTATAGAAAGGTGAATTTATGATTACTTTTACTCAATTTCGTGTTTTTGTGACGTCATCTTGAATTGTATAAGTAGCCTATTGAAATACCGTCAGAACCATATTATATTTAACAGATTTCTCCGGTGATGTGTAGCGATCAAAATCAAGTGAGATCGAAAAGAAACGTGTTGAGAGTGTTTTGCATGGAAAATAGGGAATAAAACTAGTTTCCTATTCGAGCCCAACATGTAGAGTATCAAATACAATTGATTAAAAAAAAGGAAGTTATTAACCGGAGTTACGAACTTCACTTCCTAACAGTTCTACTTGGGAAAGACTTCAAGTTAACATACAAGACCTTTCTCACACTTGTCGCACGTTTGTTTGATAGGTTGGATTGTTTTCCGACCTAATATCTGAGTATGAAAAATTAATGAGTTTTAGTTTTTCTACATTCTAATCCGAAGATTACATGCAAAAAATGTCATGTCTTCAGATTACTTATTTTTTACACAAATAGTCTCTAGATTTGTATTATCCTTATATTAAGAAGCATATTCTTTTGAATTCTATAAATGTATTTTCTTCAACGATTGATATATCCTGTGAAACATACTTTACAAATAAACAGCATGTGAGATTCTTCAAGGTATATACAAAAACGTTTACAACATTCATTTTCGCTTCTATCTGCACTCGTCTATCAAAATCCATTGATTATATTGGTAATGTCGCTGTGGCATCAAATGGCGCACCATGAATTTGTCCGTCTCGCCATCCGCCTTTTCTCGATCCACTCAGCGATTCTTCTAAATGATCAAGATGATAATCAAAGCCATGTTCAGCGTCAACTCTTGGCAATGGAATGTGATTGAAACGATAGTCCCAAACACTTGCATACTGAAAACGGTATGATCCAAAAGCAAACATAATTCCGATGGCTGCGCCAGCCACAATATCGTACCAATTGTGATAATGATCAATTGTTAACGAGCATGAGAGTAGAACGGCACCGAGAAGTGGAGCAAAGAAGAGAACGAGTTTCCAGTATTGTGGTCGATAATTAGCGAAAATTTTTAATTTTGCGTTGAGATACAATGAGCAATAGACAAGACTAGCGAACGCCGCAGTTGAATGTCCTGATGGCATTGACTGTAATGCAAAATTAATATCTTTTTCATTACCTGTACATATAGATCGATCAAATAGAAGACCATCAAAGCCTTTTCCTGTGCCGACACTTGCTGCATTAATATTTGGTTTGCAAACGGAAAGAAAATGTGGTCTCAAACCTCCAATCAACCATTTAATAAGTACTTGAAAAGCAGCTCCAGATACTATTGCGTATAATAGACCCATCGTGGCTGCATTTATGTCATTAAAACTTCGTATACGTATTTGCATTAACATTATAAATATAAATGGGATAAGAAATGCCAACAAACCAGATAACCATGTTGGAATGATATTTTTCTCGAGAGGATACACAAATTCTGGATTAACAATTTCACCATTGCGAAAATAGATGGGAAAGAGACGGTTGGGAATCGGTTGAAGCATATTTGCCACAATGCCAATAATGCCTAATATAACTAAGACAAGATAATCCATCCAGAAAGTTCGAATATAGATTCGAAAAGTGAGAACATCTTGTTGAGGTCGATATATCGTTCCTTGTTGTACATTCATAACTGATTGTTCCATGGCAATAAGATCATTGCGAGGTTCTTTCATTGTTTCTGACAGAACTAAAAAATCAAATCATTAAAAGAGTGTTCGTGATCTTGTATGGAAATATGTTATGACAGAAGAAACGGAAGATTTTTTTTTTGTAAAATCTACTGCTTCATGCAAGAATAGAAAAAGCCATTTATTCTGCTTCTTTCTTCATAGTATGAAGCTGTCAAGGGTTATATAGTAAAATATAGAAAGATACAAATTTTTTTCTTTTTCTTTAGTTCATTCGCTTTCTCTCCTCCTCTGACTCTTACGTAATACTGCAGAGAATTAGATACATTAGCGTTGGACGAAAAAGAAGCTATTCTAACTACCAATTAGATTTAGTCACTACAACAATGAAAGAAAGTGAAGTTTAGAGACGATACAAATCATGTTGAATTTATTGAACAAATATTTCTTTAGAAAAATTTTCGTTTCTACAAACAGTTCTACACTCTTAATTGTCTATCCATTTGCACCATCGATAATGTCGCTGTCGCATCAAATGGTGCACCATGAATTTGTCCGTTTCGCCATCCGCCTTTTCTCGATCCACTCAGCGATTCTTCTAAATGATCAAGATGATAATCAAAGCCATGTTCAGCGTCAACTCTTGGCAATGGAATGTGATTGAAACGATAGTCCCAAACACTTGCATACTGAAAACGATACGACCCAAATGCGTGTATAGTTCCAATGACTGCACCAGCTAGAATATCATACCAATGGTGATAATGATCTATCGTCAAAGATGCAGCAATGAGCACAGCACCAAGAAGTGGAGCATAGAAGAGAACGAATTTCCAGTATTGTGGTCGATAGTTGGCAAAGATTTTCAGTTTTCCATTTAAATACAATGAACAGTAGACTAGACCAGCAAAAGCTGCAGTTGAATGTCCTGATGGCATCGATTCTAAGGCGTCGTTAATTTGTTTCTCATCACCTGTACAAATTGATCGATCGAATAATAGACCATCGAAACCTTGTCCTGTCCCAACAAATGATGCGTTAATACTTGGTTTACATACCGAGAAAAAATGTGGTCGCAAACCACCAATTAACCATTTAATAAATACTTGAAAAACAGCAGCAGTTATCAACGAAAATAACAAGCCCATCGTCCCTGTATTCACATCGTTAAAGCTCCGCGTACGTATTTGCATTAACATTATAAATATAAATGGAATAATAAATGCTAAGAGAGCAGCTAACCAGATAGGTATAATATCTTTTTGATATGGATAAGTAAATTCTGGATTAACGACTTCTCCATCACGAAAGTAAATTGGAAATACACGATTCGGTGCTGGTCGCAAAAAGTAGATACCTAAACCCAGTGCACCCAGTACGGCCATGGCAAGATAATCCATCCAGAAAGTTCGAAGGTATACTAATGGTGTCATGACTTCTCGTCGATGCTGTGCTAGACCATTCGGGACAGTGTGGTTATTTGTTGGTTGCATGACAAGGACAGAATCTGCAGTTTTGTTCATCTTCTCTTTTGATGTACGCGCGAGTGTATGAAGTAAAAACGTGTGGCGTTAGTAACTAAAACACACATACAAAAAAGGAAAAGAAAAAGTCCTGTAAACTTTGCTTTCACGAAGAAGAATCAAAATAAAACTTGCGCGTTCTGTCGTATTTGTCAACAGAAGGTTACATAGTAAAATGAATCAAGATGAAATCAAATCTTCCTCCCTTTCTCCCTCTCGTTGTTCACACGTGATAACTCAATGTTGTATTATATCCTTTCTTCAAAAATCTGTGCGATCAACTGAACAAATATTTGACAAAGACAGAAGCAAATGATCTAATATACATCTGTATGTACTCATTTCAAGAACAAACAACATATTTAAACATGAAAATAATTAACAAAAACGGTCTTTTGCATATGTTAGACCAAATTCATTCCATTGAATAAAAACAAAGTAATTATCCGTGATTGAATATAGGATCTCTCTCGTTTCGAATATTCACTCATCATTATGGCAACTGTTTCATATGTGACACTTCTATCCGATTGGTTTCGTGTTCATGTTCCAATTTCGTTGAGATCGAATTCGGTTCACAAACATCGAACAGGCTATGTAGCAGCGTATCCGCAAGTGAAGCGTTACCATCGTCGACACTATTTATGTCTTCCAATATGTTCGAAATCGAAGAAAACAGATTCAATTCCAGGATGTCCAAGTTTTGCTCGTTTTGGTCGTTATCAAGAAGGTGACTCAGTCGATGGTTGTTAACCTTGTCAAGACGATGTACTTATACGAAGTTTCTAAATATGTTTTCCAAAGAATATTTGGTAGTATTGCTAGCGTACTTTTATGGATGATCAAATATAGAAACAAGAGGTTTTTAAAAGGTGTCCTCGTCTATCATTACTGAAGATTTTGATAAAAAAATTGGTCAAAATTTGCTCAAGAAATCTTCACTCTACGACCAAAGTATTGAAAAATTTCAAGCACTTCTATGTGCAAAGTATTTTGGTGTTTTCATCACAGCATAGCTATTTATTTGACAAACTTTGAATATATTTTTATGAAAATATGCACTACAGTTAGCTGTATAAAATCTGATAGATAAAACAATTCTTTTAAGAATCCTTCTTTCTTGCAGCTGACTGAACGCTGTAAACTACGGTATGAGCCACCGATGGCGCATGTTACCTCGAAAGGGTTAAGACTCAGATCAACATTAAAAACAAGTCAATTTGTCATTATTTGTCTAGTATAATCATAAAATTCGACCTATTAAAGTATATTCATTGATCTCGATGTTGCAAAAAATAGTTTCTGTCGACAGATGTTCTTCATCAAATAAAGAAAAAGGTAGATCAGCATTGATAAAGTGTGCATCCCTCGAATTTGAATGATTGTAGCGATAGAATATCATCTGCACACACACATTCAGTATTATATTTTCTTTGATGTGCAACAACAAACGAGAAAAAAAACAATAGATGTGCTCGAGAAAAACAGAACTAATAAACTGTACATAGAAGTTCATTTGAGAATTAAATCAACACTTGAATTAGTAAACAAAATGCATAGAAATAAACGAAAGATAAATTGAATATTTATTCACAACATATTTAATGAGAAAGAATGGAAAGACTTATGGGCTCACAAAGTGATATACTTGAGAAACAAAAGAGAGAATCGTGATGTTTAATGGACAATTATAATCTAGTGATTGTTACTTCAGATTCATCGGACTTCGTCTCATCAGATATACTAATACTTGGTATAGAAGTTGGTTGATAATGAACAGCGAATGAATTGCTTTTATACGAATTATTAATATCTCTAGTCGGATTGCCTGGTTCTCCATGCATTTGATTGATGTGATCTAAGAAAGGAAATATTACGTGAGAGAAGAGATGTTTTGGAAACATTTACCATTTTTTCGTAGTAAAATCGGCGTTAAGAAACTTTTTAACGTTCCATTGTGATGATCATCATGCTGACGATGATTGGATCCTAAGAATCGTGTTTTCCAACGATGTCTACGTCCATTGGATGTTGTGAGACTCGGCACACTCAGTCGATCAGATTTCTCCTCTTCTGGCTGGATATATCCCAATGCATAATAAGATTTGAACAGATGAAGACTGGTATCGAAAAATCGAGAATCATTCGTAAAAATTGCTTGGAAATGTTCGCGATTTTCATAGAGATCATTAGATGTATCTGCAGCAAGGTCGTTTGGCGAAATCGTCGTCATTGTCGCTGTCGATGCAGACGAACCAACGCTAGTTGAACGTGTCATAGACATCTTATTATTTAATATTACTAAAAATATACTCTTTGTCTAATACTGATGATTCATAATATTCCCATCCGATTATCTTCTTTCTCTTCTACTTTTTTTTTGTTATTGACGAAGTTCAGATAGACATCCGTAGTTTATTTCGATTGAAATATGATATTCACTTGTGCACCTATTACCTGACAGGTAGTCTAGATGACGCTATTCGACAATTCGAAATTTACACCCTCAAAACATCATATCTGAATTCGAATCGTTCGTTTGATTGAAAATAACACTAGCTTCTTTGATGTATCATTGAAAATCCCATCGGATTGACAGAAGCGATGATCTTTCAACGCATATTTCATCCTCTTGTTTATATTTCTACTCATTCAAAGCAAGAATTAAACTTCTTAAGGCTTACATGATGATGTCATTTGTTGTTCAATCGAAATCAATTCTGCAGATGTTTGTTGTTAATCATCGATGATCAATATTTTTCTTTCTGTCTTTCGAGACGATTTGCTGACAATAACTTTCAAATCGTACGTATTCAGTGATTAATGTTAGATGATTTCAGCACTTATACATATTCTCTCTTTCAATACGAACGATATTAGGAGAATATCAATAGCAGGTCACTGATTGAGCATATTTCTTTTCTTTCTTCACGAATATGAACACATCTCACAACATCATTGACACAAATAGGTAGGTAGGGGTGTGTGTGTGTGTGTGTTCGCTTTCTTCTATGCTTGTCTATTCATTAATTGATAATTATTTTCGAAAGGATATTTCTGCTAAGATGATCACATCTAATAATGCATACGCGAGACTACGTCCGTCAATTATTATCATTATCAAGTGCGTTTATTTCTTTTTTACACATCGTCAAATCGAAATATATGCGAGGATTACTCGATACAAATAGAAATCAATGTCTCAGGATTCGTTTTTAATAAGCTCTCTCTTTTCTCTATTGTATATTGTAACAAATGAACCATAACTACACTAGACGATATATGATGAATACCAGATAAAATTGACTTAAGGCGATCAGAGACGCTCAATGACAATCTGTTTTATTTTGCATAAAATCACCTCTAAACTTTATTCAAAGGTCATTTGTATACAGTAAGAAAACTTCTCTCTCTTTCTTTCTCTCTTCGATGTGTTCATTTGAATTGCATCTCAATGATGTAATCCTCATTCACCGGACATGTACACACCAGGTTGGAAGTCATTCGACTTCCTGTGGTTGAAGTTGTTGTTTCTTCTTCTTCTAAACACTTGTTATAGAGTAATTCACTTAATGATTATGTACTTCACTTGACACTATCATTGTATACGTCGATGATGTAAGCTTGTTTCTAAATTGATGTTTGTCTGTTACGATTTCTTGTTGAAATGAACTTCTTTTTCAGATGTTTTAAAATACGAATAAGATTGAAAATGTTCATCTGTATGTTAGTTCTGTTTGCGATCAATGCAAATGCTCAAGTATGTAATGGTCCATTAGGAATGATTAGCGGGGAAATACGCGATTGGCAAATAACAGCATCATCAACTTATCCAGATTATGATTGTCATGAGAAAAATGCTCGAGTGTATCAAGCATTTGATCGAGCTTGGTGTGCTCGACATAAATCCGATTCAGAATGGCTACAAATTGATCTGGGAATACCGGCGAAAGTAAATCGAAAATCACAGCGTTGTCTTCATTTTTCCTAAATAGCGTATTATTTCTAGATATCAGGTGTATTAACACAAGGTCGAGCAAATAAGGATGAATATGTCACATCGTTTATGATTTCATATAGTACTGATGCGTATCGTTGGCAATACTTGGTCGATCAGTATGGAAATCAAAAGGTTGGATATTTCGAGAGAGTTGTAGCATCAATCAATTTTATTTGTTTTTCCTTCCTCTAGATCTTTTCGGCAAATACGGATTCATATTCGGTGCATAACAACTACTTTGATGAACCAATTCTCACTCGTTTTATTAAATTTCATCCGATGGAGTGGTACTCACATCCGTCATTACGCGTAGAGATTATTGGTTGTCAAGGTTTGATCAATTTTCACTTCTGTCCTCTCTTTCGATTGATATTGTAGAATGCAAACAATATTTGGGCTTACCACCTTATGGAAAAGTCACCGCATCAACCACATGGCCCGCTCGCCGACGAGCGACATGTCAAGCAGAAGATGGATATCTACTTAGTAACAAAGGATGGTGTTCAAAAAAGAAATACAGTTTGTTTTTCTTTCAAATAAGGTTTCGTTTAAGCGATAGAGTGATCGTTTAGAACACGATCAATGGCTAGAATTTGACTTGGGACATCCATCAACAGTAACATCATTGATAACAAAAGGCCGAACTGATACGAATCAAGAACAATGGGTGACGAAATACCGAGTTTCGTTTTCGAATGATTCTCGTCTGTGGATTTATTATAAGGATAAATTACAAATCGAACCAAAGGCAAGTAATTTCATAACGAACAGAAATGAGACTTAAGATTTGAAGGACACGCAATCATGTGAACGATTGATCATAGACACTCGAATTTAAAATGACCGCACTTGAATATTGATTTGAATTCTTTTTCAATTCATAGGAATTTGCTGGTAATAATGATCGTGACAGCGAACGTATTCATTTTCTTAATGAACTGTTCGTTGCTCGATATGTCCGAATTCATCCGACTGATTGGCACAATCATGTTAGTATGCGTGCAGCCGTTCTTGGGTGTCCACATCAGGGTAACTAGTAACAAAATCTAGAATCTATTTCTTGACCATGTTGATCTATGTATTTATCATAGGTGCTTGTTTTCCGGGTTATTTTCGTGTTAATAGTGAAGCACATTGTGGTATGTTAAAGAAAAGCAATTGTTTAACTATTAGTTCATTTACTGTTCTAGTGGAAAATCTGGCTTACGGGAAACGAACGTGGACAAATGACCGGAATCGTTATCGTCGTAAGACTTCTCTTGAAGGATTTCAATTTCGTAGTACACGCGAATCAAACGGTGATCCTTCGTTGGCTGTAGATGGCTTTGAAGAACCGCTAGACTGGGCAAAATGTGCAACTATTGACAATTATTTCGTGGAGAAGCCTGTATGGATGGTTGATCTCGGGCGAGCAACGAATGTCGCTGGCGTTTTGGTCAGAACATGGCATGATGGTCTAGGTATGAAAGAAAGAAGAAGAAGAAGAATTTGCAAAGATCGAATTCAAAACTATTTTTCGAGTAGATTCCAATGGATCTTCATCGATGTATCGAGATTATTTAGTAAATTTGAATCAATACAATGTTTATGTGGATCATTATCCTCGTCGATATCGTTTTAAAAATGCTAATTTATGTTCATCTATCAAACGTACTGATCAAACATTGACATCATCATCTCGTCTACACTTTCAATGTCAACGTTCATTACATGGTCGTTTTGTTTACATTGAAGCTGATGGTGTTCGTAATCGTTGGAATAAATTGTTTACTGCTGTACTTTGTGAAGTCTTTGTTTATGAGCAGTAAACTTTATCTGTTTAATTTTTCCTATGTGTCAGATTGAAATCTCTCTCTCTCTCTCTTGAATAAATGCAAGAAGAAGGCAATGTTTCTGTACAGTGTCGGTTTGTTATTCTGATTCATGTGAAACGAAAGTAAAATGAGTAAAAAAATTTCATCTACCAGTCCGATGCAAAACAAATTAAGAATGAAAAGCAAAATTTTTTCTCGTCGGTAGAGGCATTTCATGCTAACATCATGTTTCTTCGGACAACTAGACTTTCTAGTCTTCTTATTGTAATTCATCTTAGCTTGCTTATTTTCACAATTATCAAATAATTCGTATATTTATCGAAATCCTCATTATCGAACAAGGATCGAGCACATCGCGATAAAACATTTTCTTCATACCAACATACCACAAACGATGTTGCTACATCAATGCAAGATGAACTTCTTCGAATACAACCTCCTCACATCAGATAAGTCAACTAAGCGTTGTGTAATACTATTCACAATAGAGAACACAATGTTGCCAGACTGATGAAAGAAAATGCTCAATCTCTTCCGATTCCAGATTTTCTCCAAGTGAGCTTGATAGACCAGTAGCACGACGTGAATATGTAACAGAGCTTCTGTTTTACAATGAGCATGGGTTTTGTCAAGCTTCTTTCCCGATCTTATGGTTAGATAAACACTATGATGTTCGTTAGAATCGAGTTGCCGAACGCGAGATACTGGCTTATTTAACAAAGAAACAGTCTTTGAACATAGATCGATATTAAAACTAATCCTCAACCTTTGATAATATTATCAATATCATCATGTACCAGTTCGAAAGTGGTTATTTGATAAAGAAAAAGCGAAAGCAACATACGACTCTCCAGTAGGAATTCTATGAAATCATTCGAATGAACATATCTACGCACCGAGGAATGGATCGATCGAAATCTTTCCGATGCATTCTCGTCCCATTTCTTACCAAATTATGGTAAATACGTTTTAACTTGGAAAGACTATGTTTTCGGTTCGTTTCTTCGTTACATGTTCGTCGGGATGACAAAGCTGATGAAGATTTGTTTTGGCGTAAATACGGTCGATGGCGTGATCTTTCGTATCATGTCAAAGGACTTGTTGATGAAGAAAAACGACGAAAAACGATATTTAAATCAATATTTATCATGACGGATGATGTTTCCATGATGAATCAATTGATCGATTACTCGAATCCGAATTCAAAAGGAACCGACGAACCTTACGCTCGTCATCATTTGCACAATCACTCAATACTTTTCAATGTCTTAGCACCTCAAACATGTTTCACTCCATTTCAACGCATTGGTTTTGATTAATTTCTCGTCAGCAGGCGATTTCTCATCGAACATTTCATATTCACCATCAATCATACAGATTTCAATGTTTTCCGATTCTTTCGCGAAGTGATTTGCGCTCAACGGCAACATCAACCGGGTCTGCTGTCATTCACCCACGCTAAAAATACACTCGATTCATTCTAGAATCTCCTATCGAAACACTCTTGATGTTAATAAAATGAATATTTAACCGTCACCAATCCATAAAATATAACAATATTGATCTTTATAAATGAAACTACGTCAAAATGTCAGCTCGATCTGCTTCAGGTTACTTTAGAAACTTCTTTCGTGTTTTCAATGCTGTCTTAATGATGTTGAAAACGTAGTCTTTCCGTATCGATACATGTCAGTTGGAGAGAATAATCGAAATGCTCGACATATACGCGTGTTACTAAGCAAACAACCCTCAAATACAGAGAATTTTGTGTCACTATATTCTCCGTAATAGTTTGCTTGTTATTTCTTCGTTGATCATTCCATCAAATAAATATTTTTCATTAGACGTTGCAATTCTCTCGTAAATAATGATTCAATAGTTAAATTCCATTTTTTTTCTTTCTTTCTACGTTGTATATACTGATCGACTGACTTAGAGCGTTTTATAACAGTAACATGCATCCCTACTTCTGACGTACAAAAGCAGCAGCAGTATGTGTTTTTTTCTTTACTTGCTGTCGAAGTAAAAAAAAAAACGCACACATGACCAAACAGCTCCGACTTGTATGTCAATAAACGCTCAATAGCAACCGGGTTTTTTTTGGTTAAACTCAGTTATTTTATATCCAGATGGCTTTTTCGTTGAAGAGACGTTCGCGATCAAAATCTCAAGTAGGACAAATATTGAATGAAATCCAATCGATTTGTTCTTCAGGCTCTTTTAGTTGATAATGAACAAAGTAAATCATTGGGTGAAGTTTTGCATCGTTCAACAAAAACGAAGAAAAAAGATAAGAATTCACTGCGTCCGAAGGAAACCCTCGCTCCACCAAACGATGCATTTCAGTCGAACGGTCCTTTGATAGCAGCTGACCAGCCGTTTCTCTACCGAAATCGGTGTCCTTGTGAAACACATCATGAAAAAGAACTCATTGAACGAAATTACGAAATTACCGTAGACAAACTATTCGATTTAATCTTCGGCTCGAACGAATTCGTTCGAACATATCGACAAGCTCAGCGATTCTATGGTCAGTAAATGTAGAGCAAAAGTTGATTCATCGTTTTCTTTTTCATTTAGATGATACCGCCACTGAATGGACGAAAAATCCGGCGACAAATTATAGAGAACGAATGTTAAACTATAAAGTTCCATATGAATCGACGTTCATTGGCAAAGGCACAATCTGTACTCGTGAAAGACAAGTAAGGTCGGTATTGACCATAATCAATTCCACTGAGAGGTGTACTTTCTTAGATACTCTTTCATGAAGTATCCGGTTCGCACTATATGGTGGAGACTGAAGTATCTAACGAAGGTGTCAAATTTAGTGACACATTTTCATTAACAATACGTTTTTGTCTTGTTCAAACATCGATATCGACAACGAAGCTATGTGTTACTGCACATATCGTGTATAACAAACCGGTAATGGGATTTATAAAACGTTTGTATTCGAAAACTGCCATTGTTCTCTCGATAAAGAAGTTTGGAATTATTTCTGTTTAGAAATTATTGAACGAAATGCGTACTCTGCATCACTGGAAGGTTTAAAGGATCTAAGTAATATTATCAGAAAAGGTTGAGAAACAAAACAGCAACCTTTTCCCTTGTTTAGATAACCGCCTGGATCTCATTTCAAATTTTAAAATAGGTAAAGATAAAAGCCTAGAAAACTCATTCAGACTGATTTTATTTCTACCGAATTTCAGAACAACGTCGTCTGAGTCGAAATGAAACCATAGTGCCTGTTTCAACGACTGAAAATGTCCGACGAATGAGCCTACCAAGCCCTTCAGATGATCTACCAGTACCATTGATTCTAAATGACGTTCCAGCCGGATCGACTACTTCAGATAAACTCATATGCGTCGCTCTCTTTTTGTGAGTATCTGCATTTCTTCATGCATAGTGACGTTTGAATGCTTCGTTCCAGGCTTGGATTTCTGATCTTGATGCATGTTTATCTGTGTATAAAGCTCAAGCATATGGCTGTGATTGTTGATAATCTAGTTCATATATCAAACTTATAGACAAAACTTCTATTGGCTCTTCGTGTTTTTTTTCCATTTATTTGATAAAAAAGAATCTGCATTTTCATTACGACAAGTATCTTTGTATCATTCCGTACCGTGGATTTACACGAGATAAAAATGATAAATTTATTCAGATCGTCTTTTTTATGCATTCAACCGAATAGTGGAAAGATTATTTCCAGTGCAATAAATGTGTTGTATCCCCATGTCAACAGTAATTTTGTCATTAGTTCACATGTTTAGTCTAAGTAGAACAAGACAAACTTCTGACAAAAATCTTTCTAGATGTATCAATAATGAGAAGTCCGAGCGCTCTCGATTTAGAATGCAAGCGCGCGGATAAACTGAGAGAAAGTGGAGTTTCGAGGATAGTGGAGATGTAAAATCTGATATAAATTCAATTTGAATATTCGAACATGATATTCATTTTCAATTTCCGCCTCGCCTTCCTGTTTAGATTAGCTATAATGTTGAAAATGAATCAATGCCGTCATCTGACATAGAAAGTTCACAGGTTGATACTATCTCTGGACAAAATATATATCTCACAGGGTGTTCATGCACGTATTATTGATTAATGCGCCTGTTTCGCTGGTAATCACTGAACTCCAACATAAAAAATGGTTTTTTCTCACGCTGTGAAACATCAAGCAGACATTCACAAAAGATTTCGATCATCGCGAATGCTCAAGAGGTTAAGACGAGTTTTTTTCGATAGCACGCACTTCATAAATAGAAAACAAGAACATTTTCTTCGATGTGACGAAGAAAATAACATCCTCTCGTCGAGTTTTAGTTCATATAGGCATGTATAAAACGGCGATGTCATGATTCTAATCCAAATACGTTAAGAACTCGTGTGTTAATTCAACTCTGGAAAGTATTTTGAGCGTATCCAAGCCATCAAGTTCATGTGTAGACGACATATAGTACGTTCCTAAATAATCAATGAGAATCGTACACTGTTTCATCTCGGAAGTGAAGTGAAGCATGTCTATTGATGTTTTCGAGCGTATCATCTGAACTTTGTACGCCGCACGTTTTGTTTTCGATGATGTTGACATAGGATCTACATGAAGTACTTAGGTATCAGTTGATTAATAAATAATTTGCTTTGGGAGATTCGGTAGCATAGGGAATATTTCAATTAGATGAGAATGTGTTATCTGAGAAGTCAATCAGTCAAGTTTTTCTCCATACGATTTCAACATCTATAGATGATTGGATAAACAAATCAGTGTTATTTAGATATCACAAAGAGACGATTTATGTGTACAATTGGTGCCTGTTTTCGTTCGTTCGTTTGTTATGTAAGGAGAGAAAACGTGTGGTAACAGATTTTTCAAGAAGAAATCTTTCAGTTGATTTGTGTTAGAAATAAAATTTTGTAGTGTATTTGAAAAAAAGAACAAAAAAGAGAATGTCATCACTATCATTTTCGGGTCGACGCAGAAAATTATATGCTGGCAACTATCGAAGAAGAAAGAACAAAAAAGAAAGGGAAATGATTGATCGAAAAAAACAGCGCATTATCGTTTGACTCGGTGATTTGTTTTCTTTTCATGTTGAATCAAACTTCAGCAACTTCTCGTCGATTAGTTGTCAAGTGAGTAGATCTGATTTTTCATTCTCAATATATGATGAATGCTTTTTCTTTTGTCTGAAAAGAAATAAATGAGCCTATAAAGTTTTGCTTTTCATCTTTTCTTCTGCCTTAGGAACGACTATCAGAGGTGGTAGCATAGTCAAAAACATGATTAATTACTATGTGTCATGAGTTTTACTTGCTGACACATGATAGAGCTGAAGCCCATTTGTCTGATGAGTTCTGCAATGTTTTCCCGAATGATGCGATGACTAAAATGTCGTTCGTATGCTTCGGAATAATGGTAATCGGATCCTTTCTATCACACTGAGAGAATTCTTGCGATGATTACAACGATTTCTTATACTATGTGGGTAGGCAATTTCAGATTTGACTTCTATGGAATGATCAGCATGAACCAGACTACGAATCAAACTTTAAAAGGTGATTTCACGATAATTTACACTATCATTTGGGCAACAATCATGTCCAGTCTGGCTATTTTAACGATTATTGGCAATACAATTGTTATCTATGCTTTACGAACTAATCGTCATCTGAGAACGGTAATGTGTTATGGATACTGTTTTGTCTTCTCATGTTCGTCAATTCCTTGTAAACCAAACCTTCATACGAACGTTGTCTTATGTCATTTCAACCTTACATCGTTAATCTCGTTGAAAAGTTTACTTAGTTCCACATGAGAGTAGTACATCATAAGGCTACCGGAACTTGTTACCGAAAACAACGTCAGACATGTCATCTGTATAATTCTTTTTTGTACTACCGACGTGCTGTTCTGATTAGATAATCAAAGAACATAAAAATCTTGTGCTGCTTTGCATTTTACAGGCATGTAGCCAATAGAAATTCATAAAAAGAAGACAGCGGGGATAATGTGATGTTAATTGTAATTATATTCAATGAATTATATATGAAATAGCATATGATTATCACAGGACAGGTACATAATCATGGATCCTATCAGAAAAGAAAAAAAATAGAAGAGAACACCAGTTGAGTCTGTCATATCAGATAATCGATACGAACGGATATGCAGAATTGTCCGTGACTAACACAAATATGTTCATAAAGTGTCGAAACGAAGAAAAAAGAAGGGAAGAATCGGTTTCGTATTGAAATTCTTTTTAGTGTAAGTTCATAAAAAGCCTTTCCTTCTGAGTGTTTGATCTAATAGTCATTGTTGTGTGTGTTTTTCTCGACGGATCTGTACAATATATTTAATTAACGTTTTACAACACATCAGCTTGTTCAAATAGATTTTGATGAAACATTAAAGATAAATAATGTCCTTTCCATCCGTTTGTGTACTTTGTCTATACGGCAAACGACTACTTACATACATAAAAACTAAGCAAAGAAACAAGGATGCCATTGACGAGTTTTTTTTCTCGTTTGTCTGAGAACTAGAAACAGATGTACATCATTTGTCAAAAAAGTGCAATCATGATATTTTTCCACATCGCGCCTCAATAAAATGAGTCAGTAGCACCCGCTTTATTTTACCTAATCCTATTCGAAATTTTCACGAGAGATATTTGCTCTTCTTCATGATTAGAAGAACTTTCCGCTTTTAGCAACAAGTTTTGTCGCATCCTACACATCATGTTTTCCATTCACCTCTTAAAGATACTGAGTACTGTAGACTTGCGCAGGAACACATTTGCCTGTCATGATTATTTAAACAAAAACTATCATCGGTTTTTTTTCTCCGTTTCCATATTCGCAGCTGAGTTTCTCTTTTTTTCCTTCTCGCTCTCTTTCTGTCTCTTTCCGACACTTCCTTTTTCAATAACAAAACTCAACCTGTGTTTTCTTCTTTTTTCGTATTATTGCCAGTAATCTTCTTCAGTCAAAATAATGTAATTATTCGCTCGAAACTATTTTAATATTCTATATCCTATCGCCTATGAGTAGTATCGACAGTTATCTCGTTAACGAAAATCTGCTTCAACAACAACAGCAGAATCTCTATTCGTCTGCTAGTCCTGATATTCAGCCATATCCATTGAATGATATGACCGAAATCGATCTAACGAAAATCGTGCAACAAAACTCGAATCGTAGTACTACTATTGATATCGTAACACATTTCGAATATTCAAGTCTCATACTCAAAATCAGTTTGGGATTGATTTGTGCTTGCCTTTGTTTATTAACCATAACGGGCAATCTTCTTGTTCTAATTACATTTCGTCGCATACGAACAGTAAGTATTCAATGATAAGCTTGCGATTAGGAGGAGAAAAAACATTCAAGTATTGTTTCGGTTTGATCATCATTGCATAAAAACTTCGCTTGATTTCATTTAGGTCGGCAATTTGTTTATACTCAGTCTTGCCACTGCTGACTTAATTGTGGGTTGTTTTGTTATGCCTATTGCTGGAATATATGCGATTATGGAAAATTGGAATATGGGTACGTTATTTGAATGTATACATGCTTCCTGTCAGTTTCATACAGTCTATATTTTCATAATCGTTCCTTCCTACTGATTAGCGATGAATTATATAGAACAAATACATATAAATAACTATGAAATCAGCTAAAATTGAAGTGACTTCTGCGGAAGAGAAACACTATCTGTTTGAGTGTGTGATAGGCTGATGTTCTACTTATTGAGATGGAAGATATTTGTTTGGTGAAAGTACATGCATGTTGTTATGTCTAAAAGGATTCATCGAAACGTTGTTAATTAGCATAAAGAGAACAGTACTGGATTAATTTTGTATATCTTCTTTAGGTCTTCTTCTTTGTCGGATTTGGTTGTCCGTTGATTTTACTGCCTCAACGGCATCGATATTTAACCTACTTACGTTAAGTTTGGATCGTTACTGGTCAATCACATCCCCACTACAATATCTCGGTAAACGAACGCGTACGCGTGCTCTTTTCCTCATCGGTTTGGCGTGGGGTTTGTCAATTCTTTGGGTTATTCCAATCTTTGGTTGGCATCGTTTAGTTAATCATGACACAAGATATATTGACGTAAGTAAACAATTCTAAGAACGAGTGTACACAAAAATCTGCTGTTTAGTCGACAAAATGTGAACCTGAGTATACGCACTCAAAAGTGTTTAAAGTTTCGACAGCAATCATCAATTTTTATCTGCCCTTGCTAGTTTTAATGTCGCTGAACGGTCGAATGTATTTTGAAATCAAGCGACGTTACAAAAACGCACTCTTGCAAAGATACTCGAATAGATCAACGAGTGAATCTCCAAATACGTGTAAATTGCATTCACAACGAAAGAATTCTCGTATACCAGTAACAATAGAAATATGTGATACTGACAAACAATTGTGTCCAACATCATTCAATTTCATTGATAATGATGCACTGACCCTGGGGAAGCCAATATCAACAAATCATTACGATAATACACCAACATTGAGAATTAACTACAAGGAAAAGAAAAATCGTTCGATACTTACTTCAAACCTATCCAATTCGCAATCTCTACCAAAGAAAACTTCTTACCCATTCATTGGAAAAAACCATTGTACTCAGGTAAATTAAAATGCATCTTTTGTCTTCAAGCTAAATCTCTGATTTAGGATGAATTAGCTTGGTTTGCTCATCATGAACGCTCACGTTCCTCATTAACTCCAACGCCCACGCTACGATCTCATCGTACTGGCTCGAAATATCGTTTAAACGTCGACGAACGATGTTTTAAACATTCGTATAATTGTCCAACATGTCCCATCTACACCAACGGGCAGATAGATCTTTCCCCGACACATCATCGTGATTCTTATCAGTATTATCCCGCTTTACATCGAACGACGCTGGTCTGTCGTCGTTGTTCATCTGACACTATGCGAGCGTCTGCAGCTAGAGCAACAACGATGAACATCTTCAATCTATGTCAGTGCTGTTCATCTGCAACATCAGCGTTAACAATTCATTCAAATCTTGACCCATATGAAAGCACGCGAAAGATATCCGCGTCGTCTGCATCATCTAGCACAAGTCGAAGACAACGTGCCATGTCGAATTATAGTTTAGCTCGAAATAGCATGGTATCTAATATCATACCACATTCGAGTTCTTATCAATGTACACGTTCAGCAAGTAAGATGAAGCAAGCAACTGTGTGGAATCAACAAGAAAAAGCATTTCGACAATTATTCGCTATTGTCTTTGGCTTTACCGTATGTTTTCTTCCATATTTTATTCTTTACATGGTCGTTGCTTTCTGCGGTTCGTGCGTGTCCGAACGCTTCCTAACTGTGACGATATGGCTTGGCTATGTCAATTCAACAATAAATCCATTTTTATATGCGCTTTCAAACAAACATTTCCGTCGAACATTTAATCGAATATTAAAACGTGACCATCGACGTCAATCTTATTATAATTAATTCGATATTTTTTTTGTATCATTCTTTATAAATTATTTGACCTTTGTACGCCCTGACTCTTCCATCGCACCTAATCGTGACTGGATATTGACATCTTTAGACAACGATAAATGTGTTGTTTGTTTAATAGGACATTTTTTACAAGATTTATTGTTAATGAAAATACTCGTTGGGCAACCAGTGATTAAGACCGGTTATAATCCAACTATTATCTATCGAATTGCGATTGGTATCGCGTAAAAATTTATAATTACAAACAATGATTTCATTACGCATTTTCCGTAATTTGGATAACCAATCAGCCACACTAGCATTTGAACTTTGCATTATTTCTTCTCGATAAGCATCAGGATCTTTGAGAATATGAAAAATCATGGAAATTTCAATCATACACGTATCTAAAAGATTCGTTCCAGTTTCGATCGTGGTAAAGAATGCTTGATATGTTGTTTACTTGTCTGTTCATTCAGGGGCATGGCAATCGAATAGGGATATGAAAAAATGATTTCATCGTCTTCAACAGGTATTTGTTGTCGTTGTTGATGCGATAATTGTATGTAATTTTGTTTGACTTCATGAATAGCCTAAATAACAGTATGTCTTACAGTAATTCATGGTTAGTGATAATTTTACTTCTTGACTAACAAATCCAGGCAGATCATCAAATTGACCGTTGCCAATCAGATGTGAAACGACAATCAGTGCTTGTCGAGCACCATGACAAAATGGTTTGATTGCAAATGTGGAATCGAAAGAACCATTGATGATCATTCGAGAAAAGACATTTTTCATCATTTGTATTAGATTTGGTGATGCAATATGAGGAAGGTCCATTAGCATCAAACGACGATGGTGATCAGTTGACATGGGACGAATACATTTCATTGAGAAAGCATATTTGGCATTGGAAAAACACCGATTGATGATCGAAGCCATTTCAATATGAAAGAAGGCAAAGAGGAGATATTCAAAGAAATGAAATCCATAATGGATAATAAAGATAACTTTTTAAATAGGTGTCGCCCATGGTCTTAATGTTTTATTAATTCTGATAGATATTAAAAAAAGAAAGCTAGCAGAAGTTTGACGACAATTGCTAAATATAAGATGCTACTATGATTCACACCTTGGGAGATCAAACCATTCGTCTTCAAATAATTATCCACTGCTCGTGTCCATATGGCATACCCTTGCTCGTTCATATGTAAATCATCCTGCAGAAATAATTCCTGTCGAGGTTTACTATCGTCTGTTAGCATTTCATTGAAGACGTCAATGTAATGAACATTGTTCATGTTACGAATATCTTCTCGGATGAGATTATTTGTTAGGTTTATTTGTGAAAATTTATCCCATTTATTTGGACTTGGTTTCACTGAAATGTAAGCTACCGGTAATGCTGGATAAAATCGACGAATTACAGAAATCAATTGACGAAACATCGCATAAATATTTGCAGGCGTCTCACCGATAGCAATATCATTTTCGCCAGCATAGACAATCAGTATGCGTGGTTCTAACGGCAGAATAACTCGTTTGAATTGTTGGAGGCATTGTTTTAATGTTGACCCACCGAAGCCTCGATTGATAAGATCCATTTTCGTATGAGCAAAATCATCGGTCAATGTTGACCACAAACGAATCGATGAGCTTCCATAGAAAACAATCGATTGTCGTTTGGCATCTGGTAACGAACGATCAAATTTAAGTAGTTGGTGTTCCAGCGAACTATTCGAAAGTACTTCATTGGGATTTTCATCATCGACATACAAACAATTCATTGCATTTCGTGTATAACGTACCGACGTCGGAGAGTCGTCCATTTCAAACAACGGTGTGCAAGTACCATTCGATTGTCGACCCCATAGAATATCACCGTTGGAAATCGTTCGTCGCCAGAAACAAGAGACTTTGTTGACAAAAATCGGAGCACCTGATTGAAATACGAGAAAAACATGAATGCACTCTTATTCGCATATGATCTACCTTTGGATGTATCAGTCAACGCTTGAAAAGTGCCTCGGTTATCAGTCTTGTTGATTGCGACAAGACTATTGATCTACACGAAAAGAATGAGGTAATTCAAGGGGAAATGCGCCGTACGTACCCAAGTGTCTTTGATATCATCCAGTAAATTCAGCGTGAATGTTTCATTGTTATACATAAATGCTTGGCCAAGTTGTCGAGAATAGTTCTGATTCCATTCACTTATACACCACAAACCGCGAAGTTCTACTGGTATTAGTGTAAAATTTTTTCGTTCATTTAGCTGACTTCGACATGGAAGAATCTCAATACAGAGTAACACAAGAACAAATCGATACATTTTCGAGTGAGTGATGAAATCCGTCTTAGGATTGTTGATTTTATTCTTTCACTCATGATAACATTAGTTTTTGGATTAAGTATTAATCTTTCGCGCGAAAAGTATGTGCGAGAATATCAGATCGACTAACAAACGATGTTATTTTGTTTTTTTTTCACATCTTCATCTTATCTTAAGAATGCATTTTATATCGATGAAATTGCTTTCGTAAGTCGTAACCTTCGATCGAGACATCACTCGCAATGAACTCGTAACGAATTAGTCCGATCGAATTTTTGATCGCTATGGTCATTGTAAACATCGAATTGATCGATAGGAGAAGATAAGAACTATCTCCGTTTATCATGATATCTCAACAAGATTATGATTATGATTCTTTAATTATATCGTTTGAACCGTATTTTATTCGAAATGATCGATGAGTTTCAATAATCTATCATTGATACGAAATTTGTTGTGTTATTCGATCCTAATCGAAATTTGATTTTAGTTCTTAACAGCATCGACACATCGTGTTCGACACGAACACATTGGTCGACAACATTTTTGTACGCTCGAACAATCACCATCCGATTTGCAGAGAGGAATCATATCTTCTGGCCGACATACACGTCGACGACAATGGATGTGGATGAGTGGATTTCTTGTTGGACATTGACCTGAATAATATCCAATGAAAATATTTGTTTTGATATTTTCATTTTCACACTTACCTTCATGTACGATTACATCTTGGCTTTGTTTTGATCCGGCGTAGATCAAGCTAATAAACACGGCCAGAAGAATAAGCGTGTGTGTCAGAGTCGAAGTCATCTTGAAATGTATTGAATGCTCGTTGTCAGACAGTATTTATAATGTCCGAAGTGTCAATGAGAAATGATTGCACATGTTTTTATCTTGCAGTGCGATCGACTTTAATCTTTGATACCAATTACGTATGAATTATTTATCGGCTTTATTAAAAAAAAAGAATTTTGCAAGAAGACAACAAATTGACGACTACGAAAAAGGGAACATTGCAAATAGAAAGCGATTTGTATCTACTGAAATATTTGTGTGATAATAGCTTTTTCTTCATTGTTATTATCAATTAAACGCGTTACCATCTTTTTTCCGATACCCCATGTTTCGATCTTATCAGCCACGAGCGTATCGCTGATTGATCTTGCGGTATTTGGACTACTTTTCGTCAAGATGCGTATTGTTTGTCTCGGTCGTAAGGAGAATGTTGATGGAAATTGATAGACAATTTCTGGTTGTTGATCAACTTGCCGACGAATGATCCATTTTTCAAATGATTGTTTGTCACCACTGTACTTTTCATTGACTAAGATTACACAATCGAGTTCTAGATCGACTGAATCGAATGAGATTGGGCCTGAAAAAAGAATGGAATTCATTTCGTAATCATATTCTTTTCTTCTACTCGACCTCGTGCTGTTTTCTGTACAGTCATTTTCTTTGTTGCTAAATCACTTGGAACTCGTTCAACTGTTGGTTGACTTTGATACGAACCGCTGGATGCCAATAATGATGGTGACGTTAATGATAAACTTGGTGATTGCTGTTCCATTCGATTAAGATGTTGCTCTTCGACGTGTAATAAACGTCCGTAGGTTGATAATTCGAAACGTAATGAAACATTATTTTCTAGAAGACCATCAATTGCTTCTTGTTTTCCATCGATAAGTGCTCGTAATTGTGCTGATTCGAGATCGTATCCTTCGGTTTCACGTGCGCGTTCTCGTCGAATATATTCTAAATCTGCAAAAATGGCGTCTAATTGCGATTGTAATTCTTGATTTTCTGCTTGTAATAATGAAAACATTTCTTGATTATCACGTAGTGACGACGTCAAGTGGGTTTTATCCATCGATTCAATCGCGCCTTCGCTTGCTAATAATCGTTTACGTTCCGATTCAGCTTCCAATTCGGCACGAACTTGTTCAGTTTTGAAACGATAATATTCTTCCAATTCATTAACTTGAGATTGAGACAAAACTTCGAAATCCTGTCGAATATCTGATATAGCTCGCGCTAATTCAGCACGGTAGAAACCAGAGACGTCGAGTACGGGTGTACCGAGTGACATTAATTCATTCCTTTGAGCCTGATGTATAGCATCTTGAAATGCGGCATGTTCGCGTAATGTTTGCAACTCATTTTCAATGACAATACGTTCTAACTGTTGATTATCTAATTCATTTTTCAGTCCTTCCAATTCTTTAAGTAAATCATCCATTATACTTCGCTGTCGAGTTAAATCACCAAGGCGTTGATCAAATTGATTACGCAATTGTTCTAATTCAAGATGTGTATTATCTAATTCTTGTTTTAAATGATTTATTCGATTGATATCCTCGTAATCATCGAATGTCGCGATTTGCTGTTGGATTTGCCAAAGTTCGTATTCATGTCGCTTCAATTGAAGATCTTGAAGAGCTCGGTCGCGCATGGCATTATCGATCTGTTCTCGTAAGGCTTGCAGTTGAGGATTGTAAACGGCTTGCAATTGAGCTGCATCGCCACCCCACGCTTGTTTTAAATCGTTCAATTCCGATGATAGTTTATGATTGCGATTTTCAAGGTAATGTACGCGATCCAAATAAACAGCAAACTTATTGTTTAATTCTTGTAATTCACGTTGTTCATCTTGATGTTGTTTAGTAATGGTTGTGATAGCGGTTGCAGTTGACAGGTGTCCACTTGGTCGATTCTCGTCACTTGCTGGTCGTAGACCACGTTCGACTAATGTTCGACGAATAATCGTCGAATCGTCGAGTTGTGTTGGATGTCGGGAAGAACTAGTTTGCTGAGCATCGGTTCTTTCCGAATCACTTGAAACACGAGTATTTGTTTTCGTTGTGCTACTCATCGTTGTTTCGGATCAGATTAAAATAAACACGAGACTAAACCAGAAGAAATTACTTTTTGTATCGTTTAGCAATTGCGAATCTTAATGATGTGGTTTATACAATATAAGCAACTATGTACGAGGGGAGAAAAAAAAGAAAGAATCAATGATAATATGCTATTAGTATATTTTCTCGGAGTACGTGCAAGTATATTGCTTCTCTTGTTGTGGTTAGTAATACAATCAGCTGCGATATCTGCCTCCTTCTTTTTCTTACAGTCGGTCGCTTTTTTTCCTTTCTATGCCCATCTGGAGAGAACGACAGTTGTGTCCAATCGATTAGTCGTGCCTTTCTAACAAGCTAGAACAGAGACGAATATTTGCATTGAAGATGGTTAATTTTTATCGTCCTCCTTTTCTTTTAACCTGTCCTGTCATGCATCATTGATCCTTTCCTTTCTTTGTAATTGCACACTGATGAACTAGACGCAAAGAAAAAACTTCAGAAAAGAAACGTACGATACTCGTCTGCTAACCAATAAAAACAGACAGCACATACCACGACTGATTTCTATCTCGANTCCTTTAAATTAACTATTCTATCATATACAAACGAACAAGATCAACTGTGTTTTGCACTTGATTTACTTACGTATGTGCTACTCACATGGAGTGCTGCGTGCGACTTGTTTAATTCGAAAGAATAATGCGAGAGAAAGAGAAAAGATCGACATTCTGTGGAAGCAGTCGAGCGAAACAATCAATAATTATACTGTTGTTTCCTTTGATAAGGCCTTTTCTCTTCATAAATTTTATTGTATGTTTTGTTGCTCATTAGTTTCTTTCAAGCAGACAAAAATACGAGACAGACAAGGACGCTGTTTCGATTTACAATCATAAATGGTAACGAAAAAGAATAATTGATTTGTGAATGAGTTCGAATCAGCATCGCTCAGTGTTTCTACGAGGTAAGTGCGTGTTCCGCCAAGAACAATGATGATGGTGACATGTCATCCACATGGATTCTTGAAACAACAAACAGGTGTCAGGTGATCTTCTGAAAAACAATCGATGATTAATTGAATTGGCTTCACGAAAAGATCGATCTTACTTTGGTGGTAAAGTGTTTTTGTTCAGAATTTGAATTAAACATAAATGGTTTGCTACTTTTAATAATAAATGATCATGAAGAATGCCGATAAATGGTTTCACATCTTTGTGAATGAATAACTTCAAAATCTGTTTGCCGTTCGATACCTGATACATTCGCAATAATCGATCTTGACAAATAACAAATAGATAGGTTTCCGATTCGTCATTTTTTATGCAAAAATCGACAATTTCGTCATCGATCTGGATGGTTTGACGAGACTTCGTCTTCAGATCCTGGATTACGATGTTTCTGTTATCTGTACTCGTGAGAATTAACAGATTATTTTTGATCAACAAACGTCCAGTTGACTCGAGTTGTGTCATTATTTCTGTTTCTCTATGCCACAGAAATACTTGATCATCATCTGTCTGGAAGATCAGATGATTGTCAACTGAGTACATTTGAGCAATTTTCACCACATTCAAAGATATCAACGAAATCGTTCTCATATTTTTGTTATTGAGATTCAATTCGACCAGATGGTCGTGATCGTTGGATAATCCATACAATCGGTTATCAGATGCCAGAGTAGTTAAGCAGCATTCGATGGGAAGTTGTTGTAGACATTGGATAGCGAATGAGTTACCATCGATGAAGAAGATTTGTCTAGTTTGGAGACAAACTAGAAGAAAAGATGATTGAAACGAATGAATTTGTAATCGTCTATGCTCAAATTCATTCGTTGTCCATAGTAATTTCGATGATTTTAACGAGTAAACCGATACGATGTTCTTTCGATTGACCAATAGTATGGATGACGAATTTTGAGAAAACTGGTATAGTTTAATACCATGAATTAGAAGACATAACTGGAATGTATGAGTAGTTGGATTTAAAGTCATAATTTGAAAATAACTAAGAAAATTACAGTTTTTACAAAAAAAATGCATTGCCAGTTTAAACTTACTGGTCTTTATCTGTAAACGTCAAATATTGATCGGAAGATATCTTTGGTATCCGATCAATTGACAAGGATGGAACAACTGATTTCGATGTATGGAGATACGTTAGCATAGTCGCGTTATATTTGTAAATAGAGTTCTTGTCCGAACAGTAGAGAGTGATACCGTCGAACCAACCTGATGTTTTATATTTAGAAAAGAATAGGCTAGAGGTAATCTTCTATCGAATTTCGCTTACCTGCTGTGAACACACATTGATCGATCGATATGGGAAGTTGAAGATGAACTAATTGTCGATATTCATGACGTTGCTCTTCTGATAAATATCGCCATTCAAATACATCAATCAAACCTTTGTGCTTACAAAATCCCACTAAGAAATAACTTTGTCCTTCAAAATCTCCTGCCGGTGCATTATCATGGATAGTGTCATATTCTATGTTCCCATCTGTGTTAAAAATAGAGAAGGGCTGAAAGATCCCCTCATCATACAACGGATGAAAGATCATCAATGACGTTCGATTCAACCATGCAATCGATTTGCTATTCGCAAGATAGACAACGGATATTGGCGGAGAGTCGAAGTCAATATTGATAATCAATTGTCCTACTTTATTTTCTACCGTCAGAATTAACGTTGCTTTGGAATGTTCAAACGAATAGCAAAATTCTGCATGGTCATTCAAGAAGATCTCCCGATCAACATTCGGTAGTCTTTCATTCATTAATCGATATGACTCGAATTGGTGATCCTCATCAATTGTCAAATACGCGACGATTTCATTTCGTTTTAATGTCACTCGAATAACGGGCTTTCTATACGTACAATTGACAATAATATCATCGGGGAACTCGTAGGTTGACACGAGACAGTTTTTCGGACAATTCCATATTTCTAACGTGTCATTCATTGCTGTTGCAAGAAGAACATGTTCATCATCGAGAAACGAGATTAGTTTTCCACATGATGTTTGCATTGTGACTTGCTTTGCTTCACAATCTAACACAATCATCGATGAATTCGATGAAAGGCAACATATACACGGATATTGGCATAAAAACGAAACTAATCGTTCTTTGCCACCTCGTTTCTTGTATGATATATCAAAGTAACCAGTTCGTAGCAAACCATAATATTGATGAGAGAATACATATAACTTATCATTCGAAGTCAAAACAAACACACGATGTGCATCGATCGATAAATCGATAATATCCGATAGTAAAAGTTCGACGAGCGATTGTTGTCGTTCATTGTCTGTTAACAATCGTAATGGACAATGATTGATACATTGTGCGAGAAGATTAAATGTTAAGTCAGGTAGTTGATGAATGAATGAATACAAAAGATAGATCAGTTCAAATGATAGATTTGTCGGATATTGATTTAGTATTTGTGTAGATGCTTCATATTGTTTCAAGAGAAATCGTAATTCACCGTTGGGATCAAGAGCACCGATTGAGAAATCGTAGAGTAAATCAGACATTTGAAATTCACGACAGAGAAGGTAAGTTGAAAGAAAGTCGTAATCAAATATTGTAAAACGATGAGCAAAATCGTATCGATTGATATTGATACACAATTGATGTAAACGTCGAAGACTGTAGTGCGAATGATTCCACGGATTCTGTTGAGTTAAACACCGATTCACGGAGACAATCATTGATGGTAAATTGTATTTTTTCACCAATTTCGACGAATAGCTCATATCAAACGTTGACTTGTATTCATTAGAAAAGTAAGCCAGACGATTCCTTTCGAGTATCTCTTTTTCTTCACTGTCAAGAATGAGCTGTTTGACATTCATTGGCTGATAATATTGAAAACTTCGATGATAGCTAAACTCAAACAAGAATATTTAACACAGCTCGTATGCAGGCGGCAACTTACAAATAGATACATGGAATGCCATCAATATCCTTTTCAACCAAATATTTATGCATATCATTTCGAATTCGAATCCAAAGATTCGATGGTAAGCGAAATATTCCCAAGGGAGGCAGATAATGAACGAAAACCGATTGTAAGACTTCATCGTCTAATGACAGAATATCTTCGATTTCAAGTTCACTCAATCCACCGGCTAGCTGAACGTATCGCATCGCACGTCGAAACAACATCTGACCATGTTTGATACCTAATTGATTATACAAATAGCCGATCGCATCGCGTGTATTCTTGATGGATAGAAATGCTTTATCAGGTGTGTCGTCATAGGAATGCCATGTTAATGTTTGATCGTAGATTAATGAGATGAAGAGAGGAGTGACGTAATGACGAAGATTGAATTTCGGTTTAATCCATTCGTGTTGAGTTGGGGTTAGACAACGTCGATCTATTTCAAGCCAGGATTGAAAAGCTTGTTGAGCGATTTGTTCATTGAACGGTTTGATCTGGATTTCAATGAGTTCGTTTTTGTAGATAGCTTTGATTTGCTCGTAAATTCGATAAGTTTTGTTGTCCATTTCGATTTCAGCAATGGTTGAGAGAATGCATTTGACATTTGTCGGAAACTTTTCAGGTAACCAAACGGATAAATCTGTCAAGTCACTTATTTGAAGTTGATCAAAAGAATCGAGGAGCAGAACAAGATGTTCGTTTTTAGGAATGTATTGTAGCATATGCTCGAGAGTTTCTTTCACATTATCGAAACTCACTGGTCGATCCAAATGATAAATCCGACAAATTTGTTCAACTATTGACATCAGCGGTCGACGAATATCACTTGAAGATGGAGTAGCACCGAGAAAACGAACGATCACAGAAACAGAATTCGATTGCAGGCACCATTTCGGAATCTACCAGCCGATGAAGAATAGGATCATAGTTTCGAAGAGCGGAATTTTGTAACTTACTTCATTGACGATCTTGGCCATAATCGATGACTTTCCAGTTCCTGATTCGCCGACTAAAACGCACGGTTCATTTGTGGTTGACGTCAAATAAGCTTTAATCTAGAGTTACGCATCGATGTATCGATTTGAATTTTTTGTCAATTACTTGTTCGAAAATTTCCGGTCGAGAAAAGAACCGTTCGGCAAGTAGATTCGATTGAATGGCATGTTCGAGCACTTGATTGTACAGTTTGTCGTCTCGTTTGCTTTCATAGATTTTCATGTGAAGATCAACTTGTGCTTTGACAGCTTGATAAAACTCTTCGAAAAATCGATTGAGATATTTCGTTCGATCGTTATCGTCTTTCCATCGTACCTAATCCGAAACAAAGATCTTGCACAGAAATGTAAAAAAGTCTATGACTGACTTGGTAGGTATAAACATCGGACGGATCAAGTGCTTGACGAAGGTCAGTTTTGACATTTTTTAGTAACTGTTGAATTTCAATGACATTTTCCGTTTCTTGAAATTTAGAATCAAGTTGGTCAATATCATGAATTTCACGAAGAAAACAGATCATTCGTCGAGTTTTATCTTTGTTATTCTTCAGAGCACGATAGATTTCTTGCGCTGTGACTAAACATCGATGCTTGATGGCATGGTATTTCTGTCCTGTTTTGCTGAAATCTATATCTACCTGAGATATGGAATTCGTCGCGCTCATCTTTCGTGATCAACTTCTGTTCATAACATAGGTCCGCTGCTTTGCGCAGAATGTTTTGTAGTTTTTTTTCGGATTCGTTCCACTGTTCTTGATCTTCAATCGAACGAAGAAAATACCGTTTCTCAAGAAAGTTTTCGTCCAGTCGATACATCTGAGACAGATGCGTTTTCTCTTCGAGATTCGACGCTAGGCATTTTTCGAACGAATGAAAAATATGTTCAGGAATCCATGCCGGTGAAAAACGACTTCCATATCGATGACTTAACAAAACCTTATAACCAAAGAGAAAGGTAAAGGCAGAGAAACATTCAAAAAGCAAATCTTACGATACAGTTGGTAGCCATGGATAATTGACAGCAGGTATCCAGTTCATTCAGACACATATCAACTGTTGCATGGGTGTTCGCTGCAGTTGATTGAATTCCCCAACGCATATCCGAGTACTAAAACGAACGAAATCTCTTTGAACATGTTGATAAACACGAAGATTTATACTTGAAATTGAACGTTGTACTTCGCCAAACAATAATCGCGCAATCGAGGATAAACTTGGTCAATGAGACCATTTCGTTCCTCGGTAGTGTCTATTAACAGGAATAGAGCAAATGCTCGCAGTATTTTATGTGAAAGCTTTGTTCCCTAGCAACTTACCCGTAAATGTTGAACTAACAAATAAACGTATTGAATTTAACTGACGATTTCCGACACGATCAAACCGCCCACGATACAATTGCTCGTCTTCCATTGGATTTTCGAATAAAGAAAATTTAAGAGAATTGAGTTTTTAAATTTTATAATAAATATGACAACAACATTCATCAATCTTGCTTTTCTTCTCCATGTCATTTTCTCTCAAGTCTGTCTCGACCTTTTTTTCTTTCTTTCTTTTTCACTGTGTCTCGAAAGACAAAGAGTAAGACCGTTTATGAAACGCACATATTGTTATGGAAACATAATTCATATTTTTATTTCTTTGTCTATTACCAAAAAGATTGAAAAAGAAGTGCGTTTTCAACTGTAAAATGGCGAAAAGTTATTGAGTTGACAAAGTTTATTATGAATGTGAGAATACCAAAAATGTTTTGCGCTCTTTCATGATTACACATGAAAAAAAAAAGTCATACAAGCCCTTTTCGAAAATCATGATTTTCTTATCGGTTATTGTATATACAGAAACAGTCATCAATCACTTGTTATCAGTTGATATGCGTCACGTAATTCTACGAATAAACGATCGAAATCTCAATCGATTCTGTGTCTGTAAAACATAATACTCAAGAATTGTATATATCAAAATGTGTTGCAGATATTGTATTGCATACAGACATTCTTGAAATGTACAGGGACATGCTTCTGCAAACACAATTATTCGAAACGAATGATTACGGAAAACTTTCACGTGATCTGATTAGATTCTGTTTTCTAAATAAGAAAGAATTTTATGTTACAGTTTGACCATTATATAACAAGTCTTTTTTCGATTCGCTCTACGTTCGATGTTTCTGTAAGATACCACCGACCATTTAAGGGGAGAAGTACTTCTTATCCAATAATGTCCTATTCGTTTTATCAACGACCTTAATGACACTGGGAACAAAAACCATACACACTGGTACTATCCAGATCAAAATACAGATTCGAGAAACTACTCGACGCATAAAAATTCAGATAGTTAAAAAGTATATTGCCTTTTACGACATTTGAAGTTCAATATCAATACGACAAGTGTTTGTTTTTCGAATAGCATCGTGCGGTAGAGTGAAAATATGACCTCCTTCTGAAAAATATGAGTGTATGGCTTACGATTATCCATTACACAACGTTTTGCTCTTCGATATGCGTAGTTAAAAATAAAGGCATTTGTTTTTTTAGGGAGAAATGCAAATGTTTCGTATTCCATATCTGCAGCATACGATGCGAACTTCAGCATCTTGTCATATACTGTCCTTGATTACTAAGAACAATAAAGCAATAATACATTCGCAAAGTGCCATATCATCACATAGATAATTCTTTTAATAAACGGTCAGAAAAAGGACACTCAGCTGTTCGGATTCTCACGCTCACGCACTATTTTTGCAGTCAGAGTTTTTCACAATAAATAGGCATCGTTACCTCCATTCTCTTCACAAATTCGTCGATTAAGACAACATGAAAATTGTCACTACCCTTGTATGTGTTCTCTTCGGTAAGATTTCATGACTGAGTTTCGAAAATGTTCACTTTCAATATCGGTCATTGAATAGGAGTGCTCAACGTATACGTTGCAGCTCAATGTGGTGATCGTCCACTTAAACCTAACAGCGACAAAGTCGTCGGTGGCCAAGTCGCTTTTCGTGGTGATTGGGGATGGTCCGTAAGTATTCATTACTAGTTACATCGCTACAGATTATATATGAGTGTACTATACAATTGACAGTGCTCCATGCGTTACAACGGTCGTCATATCTGTGGTGGATCATTGATCAACCTCAGATGGGTCATCACTGCTGCTCACTGCGTGTAAGTAGAAGAGTCGTTGCAAGTGATTCTGAAATGCGAACGATTTTTTCCCTTGGCATTGTGTAGAAGCTCATTAGTCCCCGGAAACTATCAATGGAACTGTGGTAGCCACGAATTAAACAAAAACGTAAAAAGAAAACAAGTTGAAAATCTATAGACAATGAAATCGTTTTTTCTAGGAAACCTACACCCAACATATCAAATCAATCACTGTTGTCAAACATCCAAACTACAACAGCCGATTGATTCAAAATGATATCGCTCTTTTCGAACTCGAAGTGAGTTTCTTTTACTCTCGAGGCTGCATATAGTTCTTTAACATAAACGATGAACTTGGTGTTTAGAAAGCCATCGTTCCTGACAATTACAACATGCCTGTTTGTTATCCAGCTACAACTGATACATATGAAGGTAAAGAAAGTTGGGCTACTGGTTGGGGTTCAACATACTCTGGTGGCAGTGTTTCAAACATTCATATGGAAGTTGCCATGCCAATCTTAACCGATGTTGCATGCAAAGCAAAATTCGGTGGAACCAACAATATGTTAAATGCCACAACACAAATCTGCGCTGGTGATACTGGAAAAGGTAAAGATACCTGCCAAGGTGACTCCGGTGGTCCATTGGTTGTTAAACATGATAATGGTAAATGGTACCTTGTTGGTTTAACTTCATGGGTAAGTGATTCTTCCATCAAGAGAAATATCCATGAAATATGTACATCTATTTAGGGTTATGGATGTGGTGATGGTGGTGTGTACACTCGTACTTCAGCTTACCGTGACTGGGTTTTGGGATACGTTAAAACTCTCCCATAAAACATTGAATTTTCCTTTTCAGCAAATAAATTAATGCAAAAATAGAACATCTTCTACGTACGATCTGTTAGTTCTAAATTCAACAATAGTCATATTCATTTCAAATAATTTTTTCTATCTTTCCTTCGAATACCAACATGCGAAGTTATGTTCTGTTACACACGATACTCAGATAGATGTTTTCGACATGTTCGTATGTGTTAAGATACCATCATTTCCGAACGTTGTTTTGGTACTTCATCGAAGAAAAGTGTATAGGAATCGATTTGATCGTCAAATCAAAGATCAAGGTTTACTTCTGTTGATTTGTTTTGATAATATATACGACGATAGCATCGACTGAGCAAAAGAAATGCAGCGATGTGTAACAAGAAAAATAGTTATTTGGCCTTTGAATAATTGCAAAGAAAATATTTAATCGTTGTTTGAAATTTATCTTTAAAAATTAAATCTTCTGTACATGATTTCATTAATTCGAAAGTAGACTTGGGTGTTTCGTTGTCTTGAGTCATATGAGAGCATCCGTCTAGCTGCATTCTTTGAAAGAATTCACTGCTGCCGATCATGTTCATCATAATAATCATGAGAAAAAAAAAGTAAAGTAGAGGAAGCCGACGGCATTTACACTTTCGATCAGGATAGACAAGAAAGAAGAAGAAAAGAAGAGCAAGAACGAGTACAGATAATGAGTGACAGAAAAAAGAGAGAGAGAGAAAAGAAAGAAAAGAAGATAAACGACACGACGTGCAGTTGCATGTGTATATGTGATTTATTCTACATTTCTATTCATTGTTATTTGTTTTTGGCATGTCTAAAACAAAAAAATAGATTAAGTAACGGAATTAATCAATGAAGATCAAAAATTGTGATCGACCAGCACCGTTAGAAAAACAACGCGCGCAAAAGACACAAAACAATGAAGCGTAAAATGCATTTTGTATGGCAGTTAGTGAAGAATGAAATGGCATGGCTGTGGGTCTCTCTACTTTTTTTCTATCAGTCGGGTCCACTTGATGAATGTGTGGCGGCAAGAAATGGTTCATCATGATCAGTGCCATCTTCAGTTTTTCCTCCCCCTTTACCTGATGTCGGTCCATTATTGCCCGTATTTATCATCGCCATTTGCGCGCTCGAAGATGCTTGTGCTACAGTTGTTGTACCGGCAGTTGCTGCCGCGGTATTACCAGCTGTAGCAGTTGCTGCAGTCGTAGTTGAGGATGCCGCATTGGCTGCTTTTTGTTTGAGCATCGTCC